TTTCCCGTTTTCTATTACGTGCTGAGCATTCAGCGGCTTGGCGTCAATTTATGAGGCATCTACTCTTCGGTAATGCTGGCAACAGTATGCATATCCGGAGCAACCATTTGGGTGTTTCCTTCTTTAGCTAAATTCCCGAATGATTTTAATAGGCAAGGCTGCAAGCAATGCCAGTAGGAACCGCTATTAGCTTGCAAAACTGCAAGTCTGACGACGATGGGACTCGAACCCACAACCTTCTGATCCGAAGTCAGACGCCCTATCCATTGGGCCACGCCGCCTCAGTCGCGGCAATGTATATATATATATACATATATATATATAGAAAGAGAGAGAGAGAGAGAGAAATAAAGAAAGCGAGCTGCAACAGTGGCGGCAATAGATTTATGCACAGTCTCTTTGTGCCGAGAGCTACCTCCTTCCTGCACAGCTTGAAAAGAGCAGGCCAACAGCAGTGGAATCTGCAGTCATGCTCGTACTGTTTGGTTTACGGCTTCCTGGAAGTGGCTTTTGAGAGCCAAATGCACAATGTGACAAATGTTCAGCTAAGCCGGCAATCTGAACATTTCCAGACTAAAAGGGAACTTTATGAAACGACAATGCTTCAGTTCCAGCTTGCTCAAGTTGAAACAGGTCTTCCATAGTAAAATAAGCTTCCGCATCGACATGTATCTTCGACCATGGACATTCCGAAGAATTGAAATATGTGGGAATACTCTGCAGGTTATACGCAGCGATAGATGGCTTTGAAACATGCTCCACTGAACTCATGCCACCGAGCAGGAAGCAAGGTTTCTCAGGATCCGGGGAACAAGATGAGGCGGAAGGTTGCAAGCAAGAAGAGCAGGTCTTCGTGCTTTTCGGTTTTCCTGGGAGGCACGCTGCTGCCCCGAAGATAAGCACAAGATCCAAACTGGGTGCAAAGGCAAGTTCCCAGTTTGGCTCATGCCTAACTTCTACTCCTATATAGGAAAATAAATGCATAGAAGCTGGTCGAAAAAGGCAACACGGTTTGCTCCCGTGGGTAGTTTTTCTTACTCCCATCTAGCTTTATCTACGAATAAACCACTACCTGCCAACATAACCACAGCTTGAGGAAGCTCTGAGAAATTCCTACCAATCCGTTCCCCCACGCGACTTTAACGTATCCAAAAATGTATGAATGTAAAGCCCATCGCACTTCAAAATGCGTCATGGACTGTAGTGCACTCCAAGTATACCCACTTAGAGTAAACTAGCGAATTGTTCAGCAATCTGCGTTGCGGAGATGCGGCGAGTTCTATCGGTCTGTAATAGGGACCCAATCAGCTGTTGCCACGAAGAAGAGGCGCCCGAGCTTTGCAGCTCCGCTGCCACCATATCACGGCTGCCCTCGTTAAAAGAACCCGCAGTCAGCACCTCCTCCAAGGGCTTGCCAGTGAACATTTCAAAGAGAAGGACTCCCAGACTCCACATGTCGCTCTTCTCGTGCGCCTTCACCGGAGGTCCCCCGTTCTTGAACTGCTCGAATTCCTCATGCAGTTGCGGCTCCGCATACTTCGGGTCCAATACAGCATTTGCGCGCAGCAGTTCTCCAAAGTGAACGGTTGCCCCCATCTCCCCAAGAAGGATCATGCCACCACGAGTGACAAACACGCTGTCCCACGCCAAATGGTTGTGACTCAGCCCCCGTGCCTGCAAATTCAACGTCTGGATTAACATCCAGCGAGCACAATACTCCCTTGCAGCTAACGAATGGCTTTCTTCGTGCCCTATAGAACTTAGCACATCCCGTACGCTGCCTACGAGTTCCGGCATGACACCTACCGGCCTGTCGACCGTGTGACCACAAACGTGCTTGACTGACTCACGTGAATCCCACCCATCCGCAACGAACGCAGGAACAAGTAACCTTTTATCTTCCCACACGGAAGCAACATACTCTCCATCACATAACTCAATTACAGCTTCTGCTGCTTGCAGCGTAACCTCAAAGCATTCTTCCACAGTCTTTTGCCCTGGAAGGACTGAGACGCGTAAAGTCCACATACTCAAATCTTCGTCGGAAACTGTAAAATACACGCTAGTCATCCCGAAACCAACAATACCACGGACCGTTAGCATCCCCTTGGGAAAATTAGAAAAATCTGGGGCAGTGCAGCGTAATGGGCGAGTAAGCCGAAAACGAGAGCCCAACAAGACCCTCGAGTTGCCGTCTGTAAGTGCTAAGGCTACAATTTTCAACACTTCCTCCTGTTCATCACCAAAATCCTCCGCACCTTCCATTCCGGACGACTGCGAAAATGATTCCACTGCGAGACGCAGGGCTGCCTTTCCCTCTTCTGGGCCTGCATCAAATCCCGGAATGGCCTCAATTTCCTCTTGCGGTTTCTGTGGAGCGGTGGCCTCTGGAGGTGTAGGCCCAACCTGTGGATCAGGAGATATTCCCTCTAAATCAGGAGAGGCGGCCTCTAGATCTTCAACAGGTCCTACACCCGAGTCAGCAGGGGGAGCAGGGGGCCCCTCATCCAAATAAGGAGGGACTCCCTCTGGAGGCTCAGGAGCCTGCGGAGGGGCAGGCTCTGCTCCTACACCAGGAGATACAGGAAGGACTTCTTCATCACCATCAGGGGGGGCGACCTCTGGAAACTCAGGAGGTACTTGTGGATCAGGGGAATGCAAGTCCTCCTGTTCATCCTTCTGGGCTTGCTCATCTGAGGACTCATGAGCTTGCTCTTCTACAGACTCATCAGGCTGGCGTGGATCGGGCTGCACCGGCCCTTCAGGCTGCCTCTCAGGCGGCTCCTCAGGCGTTCTTTGCGTCGGTAATAATTTCACGTAGTCCTTAAAAACACTTTTCATTGCATTGCGTGGTGCCGCGAGAACTCCACAAACGATTAATAACACGAGGAAACCCAACCAACGGCGCAAACTGCTCTTTGGCTTGGGGCGATCCCGCTTCTTGAGAGAAGCCGAGTTCTTCGGTGCACTTACCCCATAGTCTGCAGGCTCCTGGAGATCTTCCTTTCCAGCTGCCACAGCCACCGAAGCGGGACTAACGTTAGCCGGCATTAGGGAAGCCAAGAGCCGTATCTACCCTGCTAGAGGCGGCGCCAAAGGCGCGTATAAACACAGCACTTATCTGCCGAAAGCAATAAGGATAGGCCTATTAATAAAGGGATGTTCTCTTCACGGGTTGCTATCGGGGCCAGGGGACCGGGAACACCGCACGACTTGCCTATTCGTCCTCGCAACGAGATGCTTGGCCAGTATATGCGCGCTGTTTGGCTGCCACGCAGAGATAGTGTTTTTTTAAAATATATCATGCATGCAAGCAGTCAGAATATGAACGAAGACCCACATTCCGTCTGCAGGTCCTGTTTCGAGAGGACGCCTAGAGCAAAGAAGCGCAGGAAAATCCTGTTTAGGGGTTACATCAATTCAACAGGGAGCTCCTGCTCGCGACCGGGAAAAGCATACCTTGGAGAAACAAAGTTTCGTATGGAGAGAGGCCTTTAAGCAGCTGGGCCGGGCAGGGTAGATCCACTATCAAGGGAGGGAACAGCGCAGAGAGATGCACTGCGATGAAGAACAAGAGCAACATTACAAAAAAGAACAAAACGAAAAAATCACACCTAAGCTAGAAATCGGATGTAAAATGGAAGAAAGGGATCGGACGGTGCCTATATCCTATGAAAGTAGTGGCCACGCCCGTGTTCGGGGCTAGCAGCCACCCTGTAAGAATCGAAAAGCAAGGTTAAGCAGTCCTTTTCTAGTGTAAAAGGGAATCCCTGATCATTTTATAAAGGAACTAAGTTGTTTAACAATGAAATAATAGTCCTGGGCTAGTCATTTAGAACTCTATTCAAGTTCGCCGGTCGCAAATGCTTGCCAAGCTGTCCTACGCATAGTGAACAGCTCTCGCTCTAGGCAGTTACTGCGTTAGGCATTCTTATGTGCACACTCTAAACCTACCGCTACACTTCGCGAATATTCCCTAGATAAACGTATAATAATAATCCATGACCCTTTAAAACACATTCTCGTCTCATAATCATGAAAAAGAGACCAATACAACTGGCCCCCCCTGAGCCTGTATGGCAATACCAGCCTCGCAGCCAGCCCCGCGACGGCGGGGTTTCTGCCCAACAGCCTTAGCCCCATGGCATTATTTATAGATAAATCTCCACGATTCATGTATAATAAGGCTTCGTTTCTACTCTTTCCGCTCTATAGGCCGCTCGAGTATCAATTTGAGCACCACTGGAGGGGGGGTAACCTACACTGCTGTGTCGGCTGATGCGGACAGTGATGATACAGTACGTTCCACAGCGAGTGTAAGAAGGGGTCCAGATAACCAACCAACCAGATAAGCAGAGAAAATGATAGACAGAAGAGCATGGGATGAAACAGGTGCAGATAAGCGCAATATAATTGTTATACTTCTGCTTGCATGCAGGCTGCCTGCCAAGAGCAAGTAAGTGTTCATGCGCCAACTTGGGCTAGATCATGCTTCAGTGCTACATTTCGATTCCAACCAATCGAAAGCCCCAAAACAGAAGTATAACAATTATATTCAATATCAGTACAGACAGCGACAGTGTGTCGGCTGTGCTTGAATGTGAATGAGCCTCGCAGCGCTCATTGCAACTCGTCTCAAGCAGCTTCCTCTCCCGCAGTTCCAGGCCCTTGGTCCGATGTGACCAGGACGCCTGCTGACAGGGTAGTACCTCAGGTGCTTGGTAGATACTCTTGCCCTTATTCTTATGGCAGCACTGCAGCTCACGATAGTCTTCGGAGAAGATCGTGGACTCTCCGTATAAGCATAGTCTGTGGGAATTTGGTAGGTATGATACCTCCGTGCAAGCTGGCAAATGAGGCACAAGGAATAATAAACAGTCCCCTCCAGCTTTAATGCATGAACTAATAGGGGCACGGGCACTCTTTGCATGCGGTTCCAGCAGCAGCTGCAGCAAGGTTTACTTCAGTTCTCAACAGCCACTGTCCTCTCCAACCCCAGCAAACCTTACCCCGACCACTGGGTGGCCAGGTACATAGCACTGATTAGTTGTGAAAACGCTTTGCGAAAAATGCCTTTGGATTTCTTCCCCACAATCCTTATTCGAAACTCAGCCTTTCTCGTCGCTCAACACTGCATATTGTAATCAGTATCTGCTCACCCGCGGAGAAGTGGCCAACGGCAGGAAACCTTCTCACGAACGAGCTGAGTGCTTTTAGCTCCTGCAGCCAAAAATGCCCTTCATTTCCGTCTACAAGAGCTACATTAAAAGCAACTTGTGACAAGCGCATGCATGTCTGCGATCGTCAAAGTATAACGGGGGCCTGTGGTACAAGGCAATGACGGAATTTCTTGCTTCTCTGGAGGTACCTTCTCTACTTCGAACTGCACACAACGCGTTCCAGTTGGTGCTGGTGGTGGTTTATTAGAAGGGCAAGCAAGACCACGGCGGCAGTAGCTATGCTAGCTTACAACTTTTCCGGAAGACGTCAGGAGCGTGGAATCTCTCCGAGGTGTTCAATGAAATATGGCATGGCATAATTAAAAGAACTTTAAAAGGAAAGGTATCGACGATGCGCTGCGTCGCGGTCTATCGGTCTTTCGTGAACAGAAGCCCAACGATAGACTCGAATATCCTATTTTAATGGTTCCTTGCAGGACTGTCCCCAGGAGAGAGGCAATCGGCAACGCGTTGGGCTGTGGAGAAGAAAGAACGGGGCTGTGGGATAGAAGTTGCTGAGATGATGCAAAACTTAAGCACCAAAGCGAGAAAAAGCCTCTCCCACAGCCCTAGCTCAAAGGAAAGAAAACCGTATTGGAAATACGGTTTTCTCATATTGGAAATGACCCAGATGTAGAAGCTAATGATTTTGGAGCTTTGACTGCTGCCCCGCAAGGAAAAATAGGAAACAAGAATTGACGACGGCAGGCGAATCCACCACTCGTGTAACAGGGCGGACATACTGAGCGGCACACGAGCTTCTGGTGCAAAAAAAGATCACAAGATTCGAGACTGCATGCGGACCAGAAAAGCTATGAGGCTGGAAAAGTGAGGCATTGGACACCTCTAGCAGGAAAACTAACCAGAAGATCAGGGAAACTCCCTGGCACCCACACAACGCGTGGCCGAGCGAGGAGACGAGGTGGCAGACGCAGCAGCGCATCCCCCTAGAAATAACTCTGTGCTTATCCATTGTCCTATTTGTATCAATGGGCATGCGCTGCTAGACCTACGCGGCGCGCATTCCAAAGTGGATCTGAGATACGTATCTGCGGCGGGGGAGTACAGCCTCCGTGTCCATTCTTTGGCGCAGCCTCTGCAATTGTGCTTCGCCAGTGGCAGGCACAGCGCAACAATCTGCAAACCTGTGAGCGTTGCATACTAGCTAATTCAGAACTAGATCATACTGGCATGATACGGAACGTTGCATCATTCCACCACGAAGTAACATAAGATATTCGGAGTGCAACTCATAGAAGTGGAGGCATGCAGCCACCATACGCCAGGAATCAGTGCACGAATGCATCAAGCAGCGTTGCAACGTTCTTAACATCATATGGATCCACTACAGCGAACGAAGTGGAACCAGTGTCTCACGAAGTCAGGGATGACGGGCCTCTGCCACAGTGCAGAATGTGTGCTTAAATCGACGGAGACATGAAGAGATCCATGCATTCCATCGAGAAACTCTCACGAACTACCTGTTTTGAGGGGATTCTACCCAGTGTACACCGGATAGAATGCAAGAGCTGGCACCATTGACAAAGGAGATTTCAGATGCACTGGAAAACAAGGAGCTTCCAGTGGACTGACACGCTCTAGAGGCCCAGCGCACCCAGTTGAGATCATTCCTTGCGCAACCACAAGCTTTGCCTGCAGGTGCGCAAACCCCCAACATGGTGACGCGGAAATAGATTTGGAAACGGACAAACTGCAGAGAAAAGGCAAAGTCCGATTGTTAGGAGAGCGTTCGGACACCAGTCGGTGCTGACGAAGAAGGGGGGTGGTGCATGTGTCTAGGCGTTAAGCTCCTCAATAAAGCCACGGCGAAGCAAACGCTTTTCATTTTCCAGATCGACGTGGTCCTAGACTGCTCGTAGGTTGCGGCAGTCTACTCCTCATCTGACTTCGCTGGTGCGTTTTTGCAGATCCCCGTCGATGGCGGGAAGAGGCGGTTGTCCAACGAATCTCCTCGGCCTTAGCTAAGTAATGCCAAAAGCTGCAACCATGTCAAAATACGCAAGACAAATGTGCCATTTTATTTCATCTGACCCTCTGCCCAGTGCTCTGCTCTCAGCGGCACAAGGGACTGTGCATTGAGGAGGCTGCCTGCCGTCAGTTGCAGCGCACTTATGTTACAAGTTAACCCTGCCTGCAAGAGTTTTCAGGTCCCTCTTCTGGCGTCCAATGACAGTGTAAATAATTGTCAAAAACGTGCGATGCTCACTATTCAACTTGCAAGCAAGTAGAAATACACGCTCCAGCTTCAGATATACCCAGCTGCAGCAAGAGTGAATCCCGTACCCGCCGCACTCGCAAACTAGAGTACACCTGTACGCCAGTTTCGCTGTTGAATGAGGCTGGCGAAGTTGTAGCGGCTGATTAATCTTGACTTTGTAGGACCAATCAGTGGGGGCTGGACGGCTATACGAATGGAAGACTTACTGGTGTTCAACTAGACTATGCAGGGGAATTCGCTGCACCTGCGGCGCATAATGCAGCTACCATGGATTTACTAAATACCCAGAAGTGTTCTCTTTGTGCAGAAAATTTGATGTTTTAGGGTTTGCTCTCTCAGCAGCAGGAGTTGAATCATATCGGACGAAGGTAGAGACAATTCCTATGTAGCCGCTTCCCCCCATGCAGCTCGCATGCTCAGAAACCTCTCATTCTGGGCTTGTACTACAGCGAATTTATCCCTGGATTCGCTCTCTTCGTCGCCGTTATCCCGAATCTACTGAAGAAGGAAGCAATCAGTGTACCGGAACCGGAAGTGAAACGGCCATGCGCGTCATCAGCCGCCTAAGGTCCCAAACTCGCTGTCCTCTATTTTGAAAAGCCGGTTTTCCTGAGAACCAATACCACTCAGACAGCGGTCGAAGTATTAATCACTTAGCAAGCTGCGGATTCAAAAATGGACAAAATAATGGGGTACAAGCCATACTGTTTCAAGGAAAAGTACAATAGCAACCGGTTAGTGAGGAAATCTGCTCGTCCTGGTGGAGGACGCGCATTTTGCTGACTGGGCTTTTAATGCAGTAGTGCACTCCCCCACCCCAGTAGGGCACCATTGTCTGGCCCGAAGTTGACACGCCTGACGAAGAACTAATATTTCGATAATCAAGAGTTGTTCTGTGGCTTTGCTGGCTCATACACAAATAATTCACAGTGAAGCGCATCAAGTGCACCGCCAACGTGCTCGCTGGTGGCCCCCGTTAACCACCCTGAGGCCGACAGTTAAACTGGGCGCATTAAGCGCAACTTGGAAAGCATCAGCAACACGATACCTAGAAAGGCCCTTCTAAATGACTTGCTTCCCTTGCTTTGGTTGACTGGGCTTTTAATGCAATAGTGCACTCCCCCACCCCAGTAGGGCACCGTTGTCTGGTCCGAAGTTGACTGGCAAAGTGTGCATCTGCGGGTGTCGTACGCTCGCACACGCACAGCTTCATACACTGTTTGCGACAACTCTGAAATGAATGAAAACAAGAACGCCAATCAAGGAGCTATGACAAAGGAGGTTGGGTAGTTATTTGCCGTGCTAGCAACTTGCTTAGCAGTTTTGGAACCGCAAGCCCTGGCCAGTGCGCAGATTATGCAACCAAAGAAACTAGGTGTGCATTGAGCCATTGCTGTTCGTTATTCAATAAATACGGTGGCATACATTGTAGCGTTGCACTATATCTCACAAAATCCTGGATATTAGAAAAAACGGTTCAGCGAATCATCGAAGTCTTCTCGAACGGTCCCAACAGGAAGACAGCAACGCCGCAACGCAACGGAGCAACTGCGTTATTGCTGCTCTCACTACCTCCTAACTTATACTCTGTGAACATACATCCACTTGGGCATCAAAGCACAAGAGAAAATTTGGTTGTGGCAGGGGACACAAATATCATGGCTGAGCCGGTTGCATGCATTCTCCATGTGCGTACTTCGGTAGAGAGGGCGAGCAAGTTATTAGATATTGTATACAGTGTAAGCTGACGTGGCGCTGCCGTGCACCAGGAGTTGCAACAAAGCGTACTGCCACACAGGAGCGGCCCCTTCCTGGTAGCAGCAGCCCCAAGTCTTAATACCGGTGTGGCCAGGATACATGGCGAGTGTAGGGGAGGCAGCTTATTACTGCAAAGCTCTCGCAGCAAGCATGTTCACTCTACTGCAGCCCTCAACGGCCCTCTACCGTAGATGGCCCTCGTTACAAGCTCGCTCTCCCGAAAAACGCCAACGACTGAGCCGCTGCACTCAGGACGCCTGGACGTAATAGGGGAGGCCGGCTATTAACTGCTCTACAGCATAGCAGCCCACGTGGTAGTAGGCTAGAGCTGATGGCCCTCTGTGCCCTGCTTAGCACCTCCCAAAGGATCACTACTGCGAAGCGCTCATCTGTAGGCTTTGTACGCCGTCTTCGCCAGTTTTCTTGAACAATAACTGGACCTTCCGTAGGGCAATTAGTGAAGGTCTTGCCGCATTGATTCGATTGAAGGTTGAGGTGCCAGTGGGGGTAGTCGAGGCGAGTGGTGAAACGTGGGGCGCTTAGGGGCAGCTTCACCGCAAGAAACAACTACTCGAGCTATGCCGGAAGATGTAGAATACTTTGTATTCCATTTTTTAACTCCGATTCTCTAATTAGCTGCGAACCAGAGGGGCTGATGAGGCCACTTGGCGCAGACCTGGGGCTTGCTCGGGCTGGCCTGGGAGGCAGCAGTTGCTTGTGCTGTTGCTCTTTGTTGCAACAATGAAACATGAGATATGTGGGTTCCATATGCGTTGATTCATGACATTGTTCCGCGCCTCCTGTCCCCTGTTGCGTGAACAAGCGGCAGCACATCTCTGGCCTCTTTAGGGGATCCAGCTCGGGGGCCTAGTGCCCCTAGTTGGTTTGTTTGGCTAGGATTTCCTTCCGTCTCCATCCATCGTTCTTACTTCGGCACCACAAGCGTTTTCTAGATTTTACTTGCGCATTTCATTTGGCTCTGCAGTGCCCTGGGGCATCGCCTGATGCTTCTGGGGCACCACAGAGGCAGCGCTGCAGCATCACGAACAGTGTGGGCCCATCTCCATCGGAGGAGTCCTGCTGTCTCCACTTTTGTGGGTGACTCCAGTAGCAGTTATCTCTCAGATGGTTGTTTCTTCTGCAGCCCAGCTGAAGGCACCTCGTAGGGCGCGGCGCGTCCCTGCGACTGGAGTACAAGCCTCTCTGCGTGTCTAGCTTCAGAAGAATCAGCAGCATCAACAGCAACGGTTTGCTGCCTTCTAAGGATAAGTGTCTTGCTTGTCTTGCGGAGGGAAGCACGGGTAGGGTCATTAAGGCTTACAAGGTGGGAGGGTTGGACTCCCACCTAGGCCTATGGTCCTGCACCACCAGGGGCCCTTCCCGCCCCCGTATCTGCAGCATCCACGAACTGGTCATATCAGCGGCAGCAGTGATCGTTTCACATGTTGCTGGCTTCAGGAGAGGTCTCCTCAAAGCACCCTGGGGCGCCGCCGTCCTTCTTGGGTGAACCTGACAGCTCCGTGGGTCTGGCTCCCTCGGTGACTCCCCTGACGCCTCCACTGCCTCTGCAACAGCAGCAGCAGCAACCATGCAACTTCTGGCCTTATGCTGCTGACCAGGGGCAGCAGGCAGGATTATCTGTGGGCAGTTCTGCCTGCAGGGCTACAGGAGGCTCTCCCATGCAGCCTGCAGCGGGGCCCCTCCCAGGGCCCCTACATCTGCCAGTAGGAGCAGCAGGACCCTCCTGCTTGGGTGTTGAGGGTTCTCGCCTGACGTCACAGGTTGCAACTGGTGCTGTTGATAATGGTGCAGCAACAGGGGGGCCTTCCCCTGCGGGGTGGGTTTCTGGAGGGGCCCCGTGTAATAGGGGCCCCATGCAAACTAGCTGTCCTTCCCCTTGTGCCCCTGTCGCTTCGTACGCACCTTGCCATGTTTCCTGTTTGGGCAAGCCTCTGCAGCAATCTCCCCTTCCATGCTACCCCTCACTTCTTATGGGAGCCTCTATGGGGCCTGCAGGCCAAGTGGTGCAGCATCCGCGATCTTCTCCCCAGGGCCCACTCTTGTCTCAGCAGCTGCCTCAGCAAAATCTGCTTCTGCAGCAGCACATGGTACAGCAGCAACACTCAGTGCAGCAGCCAGTACTGCAGAACCAGATGCTTCAGCAGCCTGGGGGCAGTGTGTCGGTGTGCGTGAGGCCTGAAGCGGTCACCACTATTAGTGCAGGGCTGCGACGTTATCTCGCTGCAGTAGTGTCTGAGGTGTATAGGGAGGTGGGGCAACCTTGGCGATCCTCTGGAAGCAACTGCTCGCAGCTGCAACAGCTGCCTCTCTGCCGCAAGGACCATGAAGGGGGCAGCAGTCCCATTGGCACCAGCAGCACAGCTACCACCAGCGGCGGCCTCGAGGAGGAGGAGGAGTCGGCTTTCTGCAGCGGTAGCAACAGTAGTAGTAACACCAGCAGCAACAACAACAGCAATAGCAGCGTCAGTGCATCTACAAACACCACGAGCAGGTGCGGGGAGCCAGCACAGGCTCCACTAGCCCGGCCTAAGGGACCTCCACCCGAAGACACGCAGGCAGCCCATGCACAGAGACCAGCAACAGCAGCAACAGCAGCAGCAGCGGGTGACGAGGGCAACACAGAGGGAGGGTGGAGCTTGATGTGTAAGAAGGAGACATTCTGTGGCGGCGCCGTATCAGCAGCAGCACCTGCAGGCGCAGCAGCAGCGCCGCCACCACCAACGGCAGCAGGGGAGCAAGCGTTTCACTTACAAGCAATCAGGAACGGCTCTTCAGATCAACTCGCCAAGTACGTGCTGCTGCTGCTTCCTTTTCTTTCGGATTCGCCGCAGGAGCTGCGGGCCAAGAACCCCCAGTGTTTTATCGAGACACGCATGCAGCTGGAGGCACTTCACCAGCGGCAGCAGGAGCAGCAGCAGTATCAAGAGGCGCAGCAGATGCCGCTGCAGCCGCAACACCACCAACACCAGATGCCAATGCAGCATCAGCATGTGCCAATGCAGCAACAACCTCAGCATCCGCCGATCCCGCTGCAGCAGCAGCAGCAGCCTATGGCGCTTCAGCAGCAGCCACATCAGCAGCCCATTGCGCTGCAGCAGCACCGACAGATGGCACTGCAGCAACAGGCTGATATGAGGCTGCACCATCCGCAGCAGTTGCCGCTGCAGCAGCAGCCTCAGCAAGATGTCTCAGTGGAGCAGCAGCAGCAGATCCCAATACAGCAGCAGCAGTTGCCAACACTATTGCAGCAACAGCAACAGCTGACCCGTCCCACAGGACTCCCCGCTGCTCCTACAGGTTTTGCTGCTGGTTGCTGCAGCGGGCTGCGCGATGCAGGAGTGGCGGGGTCGGCAGCAGGAGGTGCAGCAGCAGCAACAGCTCCTGCTGGGTTTAGCGGTGATGGTCCATACGGCGGCCCCATTGTCGCTCAGGGTAAGAGAAGCGTACAGAGTCTGCCCCCTGCTGTTTCTGTACAATAAGTAGCAGATTCTACATGCAGATGTAGATTCTTGCATCTTCAATGACGGGCACAGAGTGGGCTGCTCGTCGGTGCAGTAACATGCATATTGTGGGTTTTCGTGTTTTGCACTATCCCTGTCCGCAGCCCCAGAGAGATGCATGTGTGTGCATGCATTTGCATGCAGGCTGGCAAGGAGCAGAAACAGCAGCAACAGGCGAAGGCGTCCGAGGGGAAGTGCGAGGCCGCCCATCGTGGCCCGTAGACGAGAGCCTTCGTTGGGGCCCTCATGCTTCCTCCAGCTGCGCAGGGGGCCCCTCTTACGGTTTCATGGGGGCCCCTGCAGCAGGTGCTGCTGGGAAGGGGGACTGCGGGGGTAGCGCGCATGCAGCAGCTCTTGTTCAGCTGCCCCGCCCCACGTTATCGCCTTCTCTCGCAGCATCAGCACCAGGAGGAGCTAGCGCTGCTGCAGGCGACTGCATGGTGCCCAGGATGAACCTGGGATCTGTTGCTTCTTGCAGCCACGATGGGATGAGCCAGGGAGGCCGGCTGATGATGCCTTGGGCGTCGAGGGGGGGGCTACCGCGCCCGTCGCCTCCCCCCTTAGGGACCCTCGTTACTCTTGACTCCCCGGCAGCATCAACAGCAGCCTCACCCGCATGCATGTGGCCCATCTCTCCCTCTGCCTCCACCACTTCGGCGCCCAACTCCTTGGTGGCTACCCCAACTGCAGCAACGGCAACGGGGCTGGCAGGAGCAGTCGGAGTATTGCCTATAAGGAAGAAACTCGTACCAGCGGAGCTTGGGAGCGTCATATCTGCAGAGGGCTTAGGCCGCTCGCCCCGAGGCAACGTCCGCGTGTGCCACAGCCAACAACACAACGCGTGGCTAGTTCTGTGTTGCGCTGGGGGAGCAGAAAGCCGCGCCTTTTCGGTTCTGCAGTTGGGCTATGAGGGGGCCAAGCGGGTAGCGCTTCTCTACGCAGCTCAGTGTAAGTACAGCGGTGTGATCTGCTACTCAGCCAACAGATAGGCTTGAGATGAAGAGACCGAGTTTCGGGTGAACTGCGAGGCTATGCAGAAGAAGCATGGGGCAATTGCTCAGTCTGTAAAAATAGCAACATTACTATGCCATTCTTTTAAGCCAGCTTGCATCTGGATGCTCGTGCAAAGCACGCAGTCAACTGTGGCATTGCGCGTCGTTAGGAACTTGACACGCACCGCAGGTTTGGGCAGTGGTTAGGCTCTCTTTTGCTGTTGTTTCTGCTGCTGCTGCTTTTATCTCAGGTCGGCGTCACCTGAATAGCCGTAGGGCTGCTGCACAGAAGCCCAACTTGGGGTTGACAGCGGTGGCGGAAATGGCTCCGGAGCGTCAGTCAAAAGTGAAGGGTCCTGAAGACACGTCTGCGGAGCTGGCAGCGACGGGTTTGGGCTCGACGGGACCTCCTGGGGGCTGTTTTAATCTAATAGATTGTTCCGGGGATGTCCCGTACACGACACGAAGTGTACGTTGGGTGGCGGGCTGTTGGGGGCTTTTCCGGTTTTCTCTCGGTGGACAGTGTGATGACGCATAAACGTTTTTGATCGCAAGAAGCCTTTTTCCTCGTTTCTTGGGCATGTTTTTACTGTTGCTGGTGCTGGCCTGCCTGCAGTGCGCACCTCGCGGCCTGTGGCCTTCGCCCCAGGTCGCGTCTCTGTTGTGTGTTTGATCTCTGTGGCGAACTGTGAGTATCGTCTTGTTTTCGATAGAAGGCTATATTTGGGTGCCGGTGATGGCTCTGTATATTTGTGGGGAGTTGGGGGGGCTACGCTGAATTGCACGGTGCAGCATGTGTGCCCTCAGGACGTGTCGGCAAGCCGGGTGGCCCGCCTCAGCCGTCGCGCGATGGAGTTGCCGTATGTGCACGGAGTTCGTTTTGAGGCTGAAACCTTTGCATGGGTGGCGCAGATGAGGGGGGAGGCCCGCCGGTTTCTTGTTAAGAAACACGGCTTTATCAAATCTAGGCTGTGCGCTGTGGAGAAAATACAGGCGTGGAGGGCTACGCTACCTCAGGCGGCTCTCGAACAAGAACTGAAAGGTCAGTGGCCGCAGCGCAACTCTCAAACAGCTGCCACACGCACGCATGCATTGTGAAGGATAAGCATACACACGCGTTGGGGAAGGGAATTCGCTGGGCCTGTTAGCGAGGTCCTGCTGTCCCCCGCTCTTGAGTGCGGCCCACATCATACGCAAGAGTTGAGGATGGATACAAGTATGGGGCAACAGGGGAGATAATCAGAAACGAAAACGGAAACGGACGTTCAGAAGAAAATAGCGTCCAATTTTCGTTTGCTCTTTCTCTGGTGTGCTGCGTGCAGTGGAACAAGAAGTGCTGGAGATGCTTCGCACCTCAGGGGCCAATTCGGCGCCTCCTCAGGCTGTGCCATTGGGGCCGCCCATTCAACAGCTCGCCGCCCCAGAATTCAGGGAGACGTCGGCTTCCCTTGACTTTTAAATGCAGCAGCTGCTGGATCGTCTGCTGTAGTTGGTGTGTGTGCTCTGTGTTTCTGCGCTTAAGAACGCTCAGCAGGCCGCCAACTTACCTGTCGCTGCTTGAGGGCGTTGACTTAGAGATGTGTCTGCTTCCTCTGTTTTCTGTTGCTCGGCAGCGACACAATGTGATACAGTGCTCCAGTAGCCGCGGCTGCTGCAGCTGCAACAGCAGCAGCAGATTCACGCGAGCTGTGACGCCGGCTAGTCCAGCAGCTTCTACACGTGACAGGGATGCACGTTTGGCGCCGGGTTTCCGAACATTGTGCCTCTCTGAGGCAGGCAGCACTGGCTCTGCCTTCGTTTCCTTTGCTGAGAGGACAGCGCTGCCCTGTGTCTTTGGGGAGAGAAACGGGTTTCCTACACGTAAGCCAGCGCGGCCTCTGGCTGCTAAAGTGTTTTCTGCGTTATCAGCCGGCGAAGGCGTCAACCTCGTTAGAAATACGCGATACTGTCCCTGACATCGGCGGCCTTAATGCTTCCTAATGTTAGCGAGAGCACAAGTACTGTGTGGCCGCCGCCAGTTATATATAGAGGCAAGTCAGGTGCAGTGTGTAGCAGCTGCAGGGAGTGCGCCGCACTAACAACAACGGCAAGCAACAGTATGAAAATGTTCTTTACAGTATGCATCAGTATACATCAGAAACAAATGATAGTCGCGGTTTTCATTCTGCCTACCAAGACTTCCCTTCCTGCTGGCGCGCCTTTTGGTGCAGCGTTTGAAGCCGCAACCTGCTGCTGTTGTCAGGCTGGCCGTAAGTGGCAACTGATATACTTCAAACCGAAACCACTCATCCAAACCACGCCGAGAAGCTACAACGGACGCAATCCGTCGCTGTTGTCTTAGCCAACGCCTTCTAGTAGCTTCTGCCAAAGAGGCACCAGCGCTTCGCTGGTCGGCCTGTGAAGAAGCAGCGGGTCCCCTCTGGCATGGGGGGCTGCTCGAAGGGGATGCACAGAGGCTTCATAGCTCCCGTCATTCCGTCGGCGTTCTCGCGAGCCTGAGAACCAACAAAACAAGAAGCAAACCGAAAGGCACCCACCCCATCAACCCTCTTAGACGCCAACAAAGCAACCGCCACACATATAGTCGAAAATCACGAGACACAACACCAACAGCCCTGTGCGCTTAAGCAGGTGCGCTGCTATGACAGCCTCTAATTAAGAGCCCGGCGGCCACGAAGGCAGAAGAAAGAAGCCACCCCTGACCCACCTGGATCTCAGACAGGCGCTGTGTTTCCTTTTTGATCTGCGTCTCCGTGTCAGGGTCTTCACACCTGAAATACCCAACACAAAAAAGACAGCAATCCCTGAAATGTACCCTCCGTGCCGCCCACCCACATATTTTCCCTCTTAACAATAAACCCACCGTCCTAGAGTTACAGCGGCCTTACAAAGCATATGCTGGCGTTCCTCCTACGAGCATTCTACTGCACCTACACGCCCTTCTTGTCTACAGGGTCTCTGCCCGTTAGCCGCTACTCTGCTAATAGTTACGAACAACCCTTCCCCCTCAGCAACGTGTGGTACTGTCTGCTGAACAGTGTGAGAGTTGCTTGCCAAGGCGCGAGCACAACATGTCTTCGGTTGAGAGCCGGCATGACTTCATCGAAAGACGATATCTTTTCTATGGAGGCGTCAAATCTGGCCTTCGCCTTGGTGAAGAGGTCTTTCTGCATCGTCTCTAGCATCGCTGGGATCGTCGTTCCTGCTTCCGCCCAGGGGACGTTTCGCGCCTCTGAGGTGTCTCTGCGCACTACTCGAGTCTGGCGATTCTCCACATCTCGAGGACCAATCTCCAGTCTGAGAGGAACGCCTTTCAGCTCCCAGTCGTTGAACTTCCAGCCCGGAGTGTAGTTTGTCTGCACAGCACAAGGCAGGGGCAAGGCGGCGCAACTCAACGCCAAGACAAAGGAAGGAAGAAGACCGCCACAGAAAAAGCCACTGCTGACACCTAAAGCCATAAACAGAAAAGGGGGGCACCGAGTTTCTGAAGCAGGGCTGCGTAAGCAGCAAATAGCATAAGACGTCCTGGTCAGTGACAGTACGGCCACAAAGGTAGCATATACAGCTTTCTACCCCTCGTTTGCAGGTCGCGGTCGCAGTAACTGGTGAAGTGTCTAGCAAAACACCCAAATATGCAGTGAAGCACACTGCAGATTAGAACTGCAGATTAGAGATAAGGGTAGAGCGGAAGGAGGGACAGACAAACAAGTACCCCTTTCGAAGTATCCACCAGCAAGGAAGAGCAGAAATCCGCTAAAAGAACAAACAACTCACCCTGTCATCTACCTTCACACGAACCCCTGCTGCTATCAATGTTTTCTCGAGCTCTCGGCACTTCGCGACAATTTCAGCCCCTCCGGACTCCTGAAAGCACACGAGCAAACCTGCCCAAAGAGGAAATGCCTATGAATGCATAGGCCCTTCGCGGCAGCAAGAAACATGAGAATAACCTAAGATCTCCTTTCTACCGCAGCTGGGCTTTCTGCAGGACACCTCCGTTTGCCAGCTTAAGAGGATAAGATGGTTCAGAGACGGAGATTGAAACAATCCGACAAACGCATACACGAGAAAAGCGGGAACAGCAACTGCCAACAAAAATGTACAGTTTATAGCGCGGGCAGAGGAAGCACACAAAATTGCAGCGAAACCTACAGACGCCCACCTTGAAGATAATAGGGATAATGACAGCCTGGACAGCAACAATTCTTGGCGGAAGCACAAGGCCTTTGTCATCTCCGTGCGTCATAATCATTACACCCAGGGAACGCGTCGTGCAGCCCCAGCTCGTCTGATGCACCAGCTGTTTCGCGCCCTTTTCGTCTGCAAATCCGCAGCAGCAACGACTCTATCTGTTTGTATGCAATGCTCCAACGCGCAAGAAAACTAACAAACTGCAGCTGAATGTCCGCACCTCAGGGCGACACCCGCTGCTGTTTCCACAGAGCACTGCTCCACCAACACACCGACCGCCACAAGCCAGCAAGAACTCGCAGCAATTACAGAAAGGCAAGCATCTAACATAAAATCAACAAAGAAAGGCAGACAACCAGCCAGCATCCCCAAGCAGGAACAACATATATATATATATATATACATATATATACATATATATATATGAAGCTATACAAGCCACGGACCTTCAAACTCGATGCCAAACATCTTAGAAAAGTTTTGTCCAAGGAGATGTGAAGTGGCAGCCTGAATGCCTCTGCCCGTCTCCGGAATAATCCCCTCGATGGTGGTCGTCATCTTCCCGCCAGCAAACTTTTCATTTTCACTCTTCTCTCCCTTTATCACGGGCACAGCCAGGTAGTCTTCGTACCACCTACGACAACAGAAGCAGCAACATGCCGCAAGACGAGAGCCAGCTTGAGCCGGCACACTACACCAGCAGCAAAAGCAGCACCACACACCCTCACCAGCAGCAGCTGTGAAACTGCCCAACATCACATCATCAGTCGAAGTCAGATCTTCAATATCGGAGGGAGCGGGGTCCGGCGTACTGTCTGTACAGCTCAAGGATGTCGAGGACGAGAGCAAAGGCCTCCTCTTCAGTGGCATGGGCGGTGTGGCCCTCTTGCCACAGAAACTCCCTCGTGCGCAAAAACGGAGTTGGTTGCTTGAACTCCCATCTGCAGCAGAGTAGCAGCAGCAGCAGCAGGGTTTTCATGAGCAGCAATGGGAGAAGCTCGAGGCTCGCCCATATAAATGCGCGCTGCGCTGCCCCCACAGACACGGGGCAGCCCCACGTCCCGACGGGAGTTGCCAGCCCTCTCAACCGCGGACTACGCTGAGGTGCTGCAGTATCTGCTGTAGCGCTTGCAGCAAGGTCTGCTGCAGGATTTGCTGCCGTGTTTGCTGGTGTCAGTATGAAAATGTGGCGTTACCTGACAACGTTATTCCATTGGTTGAGTTTGAGAGGCAAGTCTCTATGGGATCGGATCCACTTAGCGTATGCGGGGTACATGATGGTCTCGCTGGTGGGGCGAATTGCGACTTTCTCAGGCAACTCAGAGTCGCCGTAGTGAGTGACCCACGCGACTTCCGGCTTGAAACCCTCAACGTGGTCCTTCTCCTTCTCCAGCTTAGCCTGCAGCACACGTGTATGCTCAAGGGACGCTGCTGCTCCTCTTGCTGCTGCTGTTCTGCTTGCCGATGAACGCTGGTGAAGAAGTCTTCGAGGAAGGCTTCAGAAAGAAAGCGACGCAGTAAGTATTATGCAGGGACAGGACGAGAGGGGAGCAGACCCCCGAAGTGAAAAAGAATGCGGGAAGACGGAGCATGGACAAAGACAATAAGTCAACAGACAAAATATGGACTGACAAAAAATACGACAGAAGACAAGCCCTCTTAATATTTACGCAATACAACAACTCAACATCGATGGCCCAAGCAAGCAGGGTTCTCCACCGAATGCAAAGACACAGGAGCGGCCCTGATTCTACAAAAGAGAAGGGAGACGCAGTGCATGCGGCCAAGCAACAGTAGCAGCAACAAAAGCAACAAGAGCTCCATCAACAACAAGGACAACAAGAACAGGAGGAGCAACAAGGGCAAGATGGAGACATCAAGGCAGTGAGCTGGTGCCTCCCTTGGGTAAGATAAGAAAATGAGTGTCTCACCTGCGAGACAAACATCGGAAAATAGCAGTTCTCCACCCCGAGGCGTTTGATGCTGTCATCAAAGAAGCGCTGCACGGCCTCCCACATCCTGTAGGCCCAGGGCCGGATGATGTAACAGCCGCTGATGTCGTAGTACTCCACCAGCTCCCCGCGTACAATCGCCTGCAGAGAAAAGCAGGGAGAGGAACGATAAGCAAACAAAAAGTGCCGCTGCGACCGAACCGAAAGCAGAAGGCGCCCGCAAGAAGGATGGAAAAAAGAAACAAATGGGGGGAGAACAACAACTAACAACTGCGGAAGGCAAACGAGAGAAACAGACACATAGGAACAAGGCAAAACAAACACAAATAAAACAACGCGGAAGGAGACACAGTGCCGGACCAAAGCAAAGGGAATGGAAAACGAATTACACCACGACAGAAACAGCAGGAGACACAATTCTCCAGACACACAAACATAGAGCGCAAACAGGCAAAACACACAACCCAAAGCCGCGGCGGCAGCCAGCTGAAGCAGCAGCAAAAGGAGAGCATGGGGGCAGGAGCAGAGACAGAGACGGATGCTGCAAAGGAGACGAATGACACACAGAAGCCGTTTGCACGCAAAGGCTGAAGGAGACACTCGTAGGAGGAGAAAAGAAACAGGAGGCACCCAGAGCACGCACGAACACGAAGACACAAGCAGGGACCACGCAGACACAACAAATAGAACAGAAGAGAGGCAGACGCTCGGCGGCCTGGTAGGGACTGACAGCTCCTACTGATATTCCTTTTCTTATCTGAGCTTAGCTGCATATCCTCTCTTTACGTTCTACGTCTACATACACGAAGAAGAGAACAAGAATGTCTAACGGGCGCAAAGAGTAGTTTTTTGTTTGAAAAAAATACAAAAACACCTCAGAAAAAGACCGCTCACTTGGGTGTACCACTCCGCGAAGTTCGTTGCCTTCTTGGCAGTCATCCCCAGAGTTGCCTCCTGCTGCTGCTGCTCTTCTTTGCTGCTCTTGCCTGCAGCCCCCGACTTCTTACCTGCTGCTGCCCCATTGACGCCCTCAGCTGGGGCCTCTGAAAGGGCCTGCAGCTCTGCAACAGCAAACAAGGGCAACAAGCAACATCAGAAAACCGTTTGCACCAGCAGCCGCACAAGCGGCGTCAGTGCCGGCATCCTGTCCTCCCCCCGCCCACGTGATTCCCTCCAGCACAACAGCAGCAGAGGCAAATATCTGCTACAGCAAATACGACGTTGCAGCAGCAGCAACTCCACAGGCCTGGAGCTCGAGCAGCACCCAGAAGAACGGGCATGCCAGCCAAAACGACGGCCACAGCAGCAGCGGCAGCAGCCGGGAAGTAGCAGCAACAATATCCAGAAGAGCAGCGGGAGCAGGCGGAGCAGCAGCAGCTGCAGCTGCAGCAACCGACCTTTACAGTCGATGAATTCGATGGCAACGCCTCTGGAGACGAGGAAAGAAATGATATCTCGTGCGGCTATTTCAAGGCTTTCAAAGTTGTGCATCGGGTGTACCATAACCGGCATCTCGCTGTCCTTCAACTTCGCGTCCAGGAGAAATGTCACCTCCTTCCTGCAGCAGTAGCAACAGCAGCAGCATGTACAAATGCGCAGAAGGCTCTGCTGCTGCAGTGAGGCCCGCGCTGCTGCCAGCGCCAGGAGCATCAGCATCCTTCATGCAAAGGCAGCCAGGTGGAGTAGCAAGTGTTGCAGGTGGAGCACTAGTTGCAGCAGCAGCTGCTGCTGCTGCAGCTCGTCGTCCTGCTGTTGCTGCAGCCGTCTCACTTTTCGTCGTTAAGGATGGCGAAAGGAGTTACGCAGCCGGGCAGCACATGCAAAGAAGCCTCGAGAGTCTTTTCATCAGCCAGCCGCAGTTTCTGCAGCCCCAACTTCGCCATAACGCCCTTCAAAGGGGTCGGCGAATCCTAAAAAAACAGAAAACAACTTGCTGCTGCTGCTAAAACTGCTGCTCTAGCTGCTGCTGGTGCTTCTCTGGCTGCTGCTGATGCTACCGATGATGCCCTTAGCAAGGCCCATCTCCCGCCAGGGTTTGGGCTGCAGCAGGGCCATACAGATGGAGGCTGTCAGGTTGGCTGTGCTGCTAGTGTCTAGACGTCAGGGTTTAGGGTTTAGGGTTTGGCGTTACATGGAGGGCCGTGAGAAGGAACAGGCTGCCTTTCTTGTCCTTCAAAAAGAGGTTCTTGCACACGGGGATCCCCAAGTGGCCGACAGCTGCAACCAACTCCTCCACTGTACATGCCTTGGAGTGTCTGTGCTCCTGTATGCAACGACAGCAGCCGCAGCAGCACAGCAGCAACATCCCAAACGTTCCAGAAGTGCTTGTGCGTCCATCTCCAGTACGACAGCTGTATGTTCAATGGTGCACACAACAGCGATAGAAGCAGCAGCAGCAACAGCTGCAGCAATTCTGTTCCCCCTACCTTGAAAGAGATGCCTGCGCCCCTTAGGGCCTCTTTCAGGGCCTTCTCCTGCTGCAGCTGCTGCTGCGTTGGACCTTCCTGGCCGGTCATTTTTGCCGTCCCCTTACTGTTGTTGCTGCTCTTGGTCTTGCTGTTGCTGCTACTGCTGCTCAGAAGCACACTTCTTCCCTGCGGTGGCTGCCTTGGCAGAGCTGGAAAGTTCGGTGTTCCCACAGCGGAGGAGGAGCAGGAAAAAAAGAAGTGCTGGCCTTGAGCTGAAGAGGCCGTCGCAGTAGGTAGTGCAGCAGCAGCAAAAGAAGCGGAGTCTGCAACAACGGCTGCGGGGTGCTGCTGAAGTTGTAGCAGCAACAGACGGGAAAGTGAGCCGCCTCGGAGAAAAGATACGTTCTTCCTTTTTGTTATAGCAGCAAGCAAAACCATTAATTGCTCTCTCTGCATGCTGCAAGAAACACACGAGACATACAGACCCTCCAGCCCTAGCCGTGCAGCTCTCAACCGATGATATCGGTGGGAGCAACAGCAACAGGCGCTGGCAGCAGCAGCATCCAGTGTTACTGCTGCTGCTGCATGCAGCTAATGCAACGGCGGCTTTTTAATGGAACTTCTAATTAAAATTAAAAGATAAGGATTCCGCAGAGACTCGAAGGTTTGCACTTAGAACGACCGAGACAATAACAGACACCGATATCGAAAGTGAGACTCTTGCTGCTGCTGTCCCTGCCGCTGCTGTTGTGGATCCTGCAGCAGCGGCGGCGAGCCCTGCATGCGCACATGTTATTTTTTTTACATTCGAGAGTCTCTCAGTTAAAAGGACAGCTGCGGGATCTATCCAGGCGTGGCCCCACTAGCAGCAGTCGCTGCTCCCGCTGCAGCGGCTGCTGCCGCGCTACCAGCGTTAGTAGTAGCAATGGTAGAAGACACCAGAATGAGCTAGAGGATGATAGCTCAAAGCACCCCCTTTACGGCTGCACCATTCCGTTCGTGGATTGTGCAGGGACAGCAGCATCGCGTTCTCTCTGCCTGCAGCTATGGACACAGCAGCAGCTGCAGCAGTAGCAACAACCGCGGATTTAGCACCGAATCCCGCATAGTATACCTCAACAGCAGCACGAAGAGGCGCAGCGTGGTGCATGCATCAGCAGACCTTGCTCCTCTCTTTCTCATCCCTCGTCTGAGGCAGCAGCAGCCGCTCCTGCATTCCCTGCCAACCAACAGCAGCAGCAACAGCGCGGCAGACTTCATTCCTTCTCCGCTGTCTATACACTTGAAGCACCTGATTGAAAGGAGACGAGCAGTCAAGCGCAGTAAACACCACCCACAGCCGCTACCTGTGCCACCCCTTCCAGCTTCTGCACCGCCTCGAAGTGTTGCGTGCGGGATTCCCCCCCTTCCTCAGACTGCAGGTGTTGCTGCTGCTGCTGTAGGTCAGCAGCAGCTGCACCAGCAGCAGCTAGATCAACTGCAAGACACACAGCTGCTGCAGCTTACCGGTGGGCCTCCGCCTGAGGGCCTTGGGGTGGCAGGTAGAGATGTTGTGTCTCTCAGCTGTGACCCAGCAGAAGCAGATGCTGTCTCCCCATCCTTTGCTGATGCTGCATCCATTGAAGCCGTTGCTGCTGCTGCTCTAGCCCGCTGGCAGGAAGCAACAGCAGCAGCAGCAACGACCGGCTCAGCAGCGGCAGCAGCAGCAGCAGAAAGGGATGATAGGCCTTTCTGGCAGGGCCTCTGCGACCGCATTTTTTACTCAAGGGATTTGCTGCCGGTGTCATCTCTTGCTGCGCTGCTCCGTCTCATTTGCTGCAGATATACTCCAACGACAGCAGCAGCAGCGCCTTTCTTTTTGCAGCACTTTGCCCCACCGCAGCAGCAGCAGCAGATGGAGAGCAGTACACAGCAGCAGCAGCAACAGAGGCCGCTGCACCAGCAGCGGCTGCCGTCTCAGAGGCCAGTTCCTGCGTCTCTGCTGTTGCCCCTAACGCGGGAATTCATTGATGACGTGCACTGTCTGTCTGCTGCTGCAGCAGCAGACCTGGCTGCGGTCTTCGCCGTTAGCAACTGCTGCAGCATCGAGTTGCTGCAGCTGCTAGTTCGGCGCAGCATTGACACGTGGCTACTGCCAGAGCAGCAGCTAGAGCAGCAGCGGCAACAACTGCAGCAGCAGCAGCTGCAGCTGCAGCAGCTGTTCGCTATACAGCCAGAGGCAGTCAGCTGCTTCTCCCCCCAGGAGTTTGCTGTCTTCTGCTCCGCTCTGCATCACTTGCTTCAGCAGGCCCAGCCACTGCACGAAAAGCGAGCCCAGAAGCAGCAGCAGGAGACGCTGCTGCACCTTCTATCCCTTCCCGAGTTCCTCAGCAGCGCCGCTGCTTTCCTGCTGCGATGCAGCCCACAGAAGAACTGCCTGCAGCAGCAGGCCGCACTGGGGAGCCTTGCAGGACTTGCTGCTGATGCACTGCAGCAACAGCAGCGCCATCAGCAGCAGCAGCACGAGCAGCTGCTGCAGCTGGGCAAAGCCAGCATCGAGCTGCTGAAGGCTGCTGATGCATTTATTCCGTGGAAAGATGAAGCAGCAGCAGCAGCAGCAGCCTCATTTTCAAGTGCAGCATCAACAAGTGCATCAACAGCAGCACATAGCGCCAAGGAAACCGCGCGACTAATGAGCCTTATTTCCAAAACATTTGCTGGTGGGCCTTCCCAGCTCCAGCGGCAAGAAGCAACTGAACAGCAGCAGGAACTGCAGCACGAGGAAGGGCAAAAGGAGAACCCTAACGAATCCCTGAATGGGGGAGAGAATCGAGCGAAGGGAACTCGAGCTGATGAGGCGCTGCAGCAGCAGCCTGGCGCCGCTGCACTGCAGTTTTTGCTGCAGTACACTAGAGACCAGTTACTGCGACTGCAGTCTTTGCTGCAGCAGAAGCAGCAGCAGCAGGAACGAGATCAGCCCCCAGCTAAGTCGGCCGCAACGGCAGCCTCTGCAGCAACTGGTGCTGTCACAGATCGCCTGCAGTATGTGCTATTAAACCCTTGGGAGGTCCCTACTGCTGAGACGCTGCAGCTGATGGCATCTGTGGCTGCAGCAACAGCAGCAGCAGCAACTGTGCTGCTGCAGCCGTTGCTGGTGGAGCGGTCTCGGAAGAACGCACAGCATTCGCTGCAGCAACGGTATCAGCAGTTGCTGCTACAGCTGCTGCGGGCGATAGGGGTTGGAGCAGTAGACGCAGCAGCGCCCGCGGCTCCGCTGCTGCAGGCAACAGCAGCGAGGCTCATGGCATGTGTGGGTCTTATAATGTCAGCAGCGGGGGCTTCTCTCTTGCCAGCTGCTACTGATGCGTGCAGAGCTCTTTTGCTGCTGCATCTGCTGCCTTCGGATGAACAAAAGCTGCAGCGTCCAGCGGCTATGAAGGCAAGCGCTGAAGTTGTCGGCTGGCGAGGCCCTGCTGCTGCTGCTGTCCTGCATTTGTGTTGTTTGTTTGCCTATAAGACGATGCTTTGCGCTTGTATTACCTTCCACTCATGGCATGCGCCTCCTAGAGGGCTCTGCAGCTGATTAACAGTATTGGGCTGCAGTTGGGGTAGCCAGTGTTGCTGCGCGCTGCCGCTGGTGTTCCTACAGGCACTCATGGAGGAGGTGGGGAGACGCTTCGCGGACTTGACAGCGCAGGAGAAGGAAATTGTCAGCCTGGCAGTCTCCGCCATCTGCATAAAGGTAATTAGAAATGGATCTACTTCACGTGCTGCTGCCGTTGCTGGGGTCGCTTCTGCACCTAACTACATTCGATGAGGCCGGTGCTGCTGCTGCTGTGAATCCGCTGTAAGAACGAGCAGTAGCAGCAACAGATTGTTCTTTGTGGCTTGCTGCAGGACCCATATCTTCGCCATTACTGTCGGGCGTACGGCAGGCCGCTGCAGCAGCGTCTTGCTGCCCTTGCCGCAAATCGAAACAAACTTGCATCACGCCGTGCAGCAGTAGTGTGTGCTGCCGCACCGTCTGCAGCGGCTGCGCCTGCTGCAGCAGCAACGGCAGCACAAGAGTGAAGTGTAGCCCAAATGCCCTCGGCTATCCTGACCACCGCATGCAGTTGGCGTGCACCCCCGAGGCTTCCACAGAAGGCAGCAAAATCACAGTGCACGAGCACCACTGCCAACACCAGCAGCAGCAACAGCAGTAGCAGCATGAACAGCAACTAAATGTTTGCTCCTAATGCCTGTGTTAACTGCTCTGCAATTCACAAGCAACACAAGCTACAACTGCAAGAGGAGAGATACGGAGGCAGGTTCTGGCCTGGCCCTGGCAGTGAGGCCCAAGCACCTAGCCCTCCGGTGCGGAGTTCTCTACTACGCGCGCGGGCGAAGCGCAAAAACCCAAGCAGCAAGCAGGCAGCCAGACGCAGCCAGCTAGCCGCTAGCTAGCCAGTCGACCAGCTCGAGCTAGCACTCGCTAACGAACACTTGCTAGCGAACACGAGCTAAGTAGCACTGGCTAGTTAGACCTGGCTGGCTAAACAACACTAGCGAGCTAGCCCTGGCTGTTGGGAAGTAGCTGCTAGCCGGTGGTAGGTACCTAGAGCTAGCCAGCTCTAGGTACCTACCACCGGCTAGCAGCTAGCGGTAACTGGCTCGCGAAACACTACAGTTCGATGGAAATGAAAGACATAATCTGAGGGACCTTCTCTGGATAGTGTGCGTGGCTCTTGACGAGCCCAGTCACGTCCACGTTCTCAACACCCGGCACCGACGTCACAGGCGCTAGGCCCGCCACCTGCACACGCCCGCAGCGCCACCTCAACAACGGTAAATGCATGCATGCAGCCATGCTTGCAGGCATGCATGCATGCGAGCATGCAGCCCCCAACCGGCACGAAACGGACCCGAAGCAACAGACTAGTAGGCAGGAAGGCCAGCAGCCGCAGCCGGCGATAGATGCATGATCCCCCCTTAAAACATTCCACACTAATCGTCTCGCTCGATGTAGCTCACTGCCTGGCTGTCGCACAGGGCAACTGTATAGCTCGCTAGCTAGACTGAGGACTAGTTAGCTAGGGAACTAGCTAGCTGGACAGCTGGCTAGCTAGTTCGCTGGAGAGCTGCCTACCCCTAGCTCGCTAGCTAGCTATCTAGCTGAGGGTGGATTTGTTGTTTACAAACCTGCAGTCTGAACTCCATCCATCTGTACAGAAAGGCGAGAAGCCAATCAGTGCGACAGTAGACATTGACCAGCCGCCCTGAGGTCACCTGACGTGCCTGGCGCCACTGCGCTGCGTTCATGGAAGCGGGGAGGCCCATCAACACCACATCGTGCACGCAATGAAACTTCCGCTGCAAGGCCAAGCACCAGCAGAAAACCATAATAAACATAAACAGCAGCAGTGTCACATGTAGCAGCGGGTGCGGCAGCAGATGCAGCGCCTAGAAACTGACGCGGGCTTGCAGCAGCAACACTCTGCAGCGGCTTCGGCACAGAGAAATCCCAACAGGAAGCTCAACACAGTAGGAGCTTGTTAGGATAGCATACGCTCTGCAGCAGCAGCGGAGGCGACAGCAGAGGCTGCTTACCTTTTTCCAGAGCGCCTGCAGACAGTAGAAAATGACTCGCGCCCCCATGCTGTATCCAGCGAGCGTCACTGGCCTCTGTCCCACTGCCTGCGTAGCAACGAGCACGGCTGACCCCCACGGTGTTTCAACAGATGCAGCTTGCTGCAACAGCAATAACAGCAGCAGCACAGGCAAAGGAGGGAGCAGGAGAAGGCGGCGACCCCTGTGCCGCCGCCAGAAGCAGCAACAAAAGTAGCAGCAAGCCCAACAGCAGAAGCAAGAGCAACCCGCGCACCGCTGGCGGAGGCAGCACAAGCAATAAACAGAAGCAGCAGCAGCAAAAGGAGCAGCAGCGGCAAAAAGAGCAAGCTGCAGCAGCCGTATCTGCAGCAGCAGTTAAGTGCAGCAACGGCAAGTTGCAGCAGCAGCAACTGTAGGAACAGCAGCAAGCGTTGTTGCTGACAGCTTTATCCGAGACGGCGTCTGCGAGTATGTTGCCGGCCTGCTGTGCGCGTTCTCTGCAGAGCATCCAGGTATTGTCCAGGCCCGCTGCATATTGAATGAGGGCAATGGGCCAGAAAAGAGCAAATGTAAGACCCCCCAACACGGTGTATTGTAAGTAAAACTTGGAGGCGCTCACCGCGAAGTCCTGAACAAACAAGACAGAAAAAAGCGCGAAAACTAGAAAAACAAGATAATCAAGAATTAAAAGACACCCGCGTCGAAAATAACAAAACAAATAGACGCAAAAGGGGAGAAGACCGCAGAGAAACGCAAACACCGACCGAAACACAGGCAGTAGTATGGACAACAACGACAGCAACAGCATCAAAGAACACCAACGACGCGAACGCCAGGAACAAGCAACAATTAACAACCTCAGCACTTGCATGCAAAGAGCCGTGTAGAAGAGCTGTTTGTCCACAGTCCCAAGTACACACTCGGCGAAGAGAACAAGAAACCACACACACTGACACCGAGGAGGAGGAGGCGCACAAACCAAGACACGCATACAAGCGCATGCAGCAGGGCAGAAAGACAAACGACACGCAAGAACGCAGTGGCAGAAGCATAGGCACAGAACCCGAGAATAGTGACTGGAGAACTACCCACACAGGAACGCGGACAGCAGCAAACGAACTCGCAGAAGATAGAGACGACGCACCTGAGACACCATCTTAATAACCATCCCACCCAACGCCTTCAACACGTGGGGCTCCCACTTCAGCGCATGTAAATCACAGCGCGGGTTGGGGAAGGAGCAAACCTGAGCAGAACAAAACCGATTCACAACAGCAGCAATAGCAGCAGCAGCTGCTCCAAGCGACCAAGGAACCCACGCCGAATAGGCAACAGCAGCAGCAGCAGCAGAACGAATACCAGCAGCTGCAAGAGCACAAGCAGCAACAGCAAAACGCATATACGAGCAGCAGCTGCAACAGCACAAGCAGCAGCAGCGGCAACACACCCAAGGTAGCGTGACATCATCGTCATCCCTGAGATATCCACTGACACCGATGCCAACTCTAAGAGAAGAAGGGCTGCGGCCGTTCAGCATTAAGAACTCGAATATCTTGATGTTGGCGATACGTCGACTGTACTTCCATCCCGTCAGGCCTGAAGAGCAGCAGCAGAAGCAGCAGCAGCAGCAGCAAGTATCCCCACAATCGTACCACCGACGCCAGAGAACACCGCAACCACCGCCAAACCACAAACAGCATATACTGCAGCACCCGTTTCTGCAGGAAGTCCCGAACCAGCAAAAAGGAGCAGCAGCTGCGTAAGCAGCAGCGCTAACGGTGCAGCCGTGCCAACAAAGGATCGAAAACCAGGCATCAGCAGCAGCAGCGCCCCACACCACTCTTACCAGCTCCGCCTGCCCCGAAGATCGAGACAAGTGCTGCCATTCCTCCTGCTGAAGCGAGGAAAGCCGACAGAGGAAGAGAGCCGAGAGATGCAACAGCAGCAGCGATCCCTGGTGCGGCCAACCCCGCAGTCAGTGCAAGCAGCACTCCGCCGCCTACCGCCGCACCTGTAAGCGCAGCACCAGCAACAGGTGTAGCAGATGCGGCAGCAGCAGCAGCAGGTGCAAAGCATCGTACCCACATCCCAGCCAAAAAAAGGCTTGAGCCACAGCGTACGGCGAGAGACCAACAAGCGCAGCAGGCCCCAAAATAAGAGTGGCAGAGGGCAGAGATAGAGGAGGCGGGAATGTCACATAGACAGGAAAAACGCAGTCAGACAGAGACACGCCCACAGCATACGCAGGGAAAATAGTCAAGGGGCCTACCAGCTATCTTGAGACGCCTCCACGTCTTCTGCTTCGAACCCTCTTTGGTATTGGCCTGCAGCACGCGAAGCAGGCATGCACCGACTACTGCTGCTGCATTTCTACTGCTGCTGCTGCTGCCGTCAATAGGCGCCGCTGCAGCTGCAGCCTCTCCACCTGCCGCCTCTGCTGGTTCCCCTGCTGCTGCTGCCTGTGTCGTGGCTGCAGCAGCTCCTCACCTGCAGGATTGACAAGAGATCGGCCGCGAGGTTTTCTTCGATGCGGATGAGCAGTAAGGGATTGATGCGGAGCTCTGCTGCCAGTCTGCAAGCAGCAAACAGCACCCCAGCCAAATGACACCCAGATTATGCACCCCAGCAGTGCAATATGCTGGTGCAGCGCCGGTGTGAGAGACCAGTAACAAGCAGCAGCAACGCATACTGCAGCACCGTCCGCCGCAGCAGCAACGGCAGCACCGAGGCTGCGGCAGCAGAACCCGACTGCTGCTGGCGCTTGCGCCAGCAGCAGTAGAAGCAACAACAGCCGCAACACTAGCAGGAACAGCAATACCAACGACAGCAGCAACCCCAGCGGCAGCAGCAGGAGACCTGTCAAGTAGCATTTGTATTCTGGCATCGAATGTGCCGTTGGTCACGAGAGCGGTGGTTAATTCCCTTAAAAACACGACACGGTAGGCAGGCGGCTCGGAGGCCCACATCGACAGAGACGAGGGCCCAGGACCTCCCTCATACAAACCCCGTTCATCTTCAGACGAGCTGCAGGCCTCAGAAGAATCCCCGTGCTCGTGCTGCTCTTGCTGCATTTCCCCCTCTTCTTCCTCCTCCCGCTGCTGCTTCTGCTGCTCAAGGGAGCCGTGAGAGTGATCAGGTGCCTCGGCATCCCCCTCATCTTCGCTGTAGGCATGCTCCCGCAGTTCTGCGCTCCTGCAGCCGCCGATGCTGACGTTGCTGCTGATGCGGCCCCTCAGCAGCTCCTTACCTTGCTGCAGCTGCTGCTGCTCCTGCAGTTCGTGTTGCTCTGAAGATGGTTCGTTCTGTTGCTGATGCCGCTGTCCTAGATGCGGCTGCTGCGGCTGCTGCTGCTGGTGCTGCGAGTCGGCGTACGGCCTGCCCATCCCCTCGAGCGTCTGTTGCTGCTTCTGTTGATGCTGCTGCCATGCTGCCTCACCGGCGATGCCCTGCAGTGCAGTCTCCCCAGTGCCATGAAGCCCCTCCGCCTCCTCTCCCTGCGCTATACGCCCTGCTGTTTCCCCGAGATGTTGAGCCCAGCCAGGGTCTGCTTCTGCAGCACCAACTGCAGCAGGTGCTGCAGGGTCAACGGCAGTGTAGTAGCGCTCCTCACCGCTGGCCTCCGCCGGACTTTCTTTGCACCCATCTCCAATGGATACGTCCCTGTGCTGCTGCTGCTGCTGCTGCTGGTCATTCGTCATGCGTGCCGTTGCAGATGGTGGCTGCAACAACGCGCGCATTCTGCGGTCTCTATCCCTTGCAGAAAAACCCTCCTGCTGCTGCTGCTGCTCGTGCTGCTGCTGCTCCAATGTTTCAGCGGGAGAGCCTTCCCCCCGTGGTGTGAGTCCCCGCCTAGCTTCCGCCGAGGTCGTGCCTTGGGAGTAGTCTGTGCTGCTGCTGCTGCTGCTGCTACTGCTGGTGCTACCTGTGCTGCTGCTGCTGTTGCTGCCCTTCCTGCTGCTATTCCTCCCAGCGCCAGTGTTGCTGCCGCTGCTGCTGCTGCCGCTGCCGCTGCTGCTGCTGCAGGGAGCGGCCGGCGGGTCTCTGTGTGCATCCTCCGAAGGGGACTCCGCTGAGCGGCTGGCTCTGAGGCGCAGCTGTACGCTGCGAAAGAGTTCATCTGTCTCTGTTTGCTTTTCGGCAAAGAACGCCTCCATTTTGTGAATAAGAGGGTCCAGAGTTACAATATCGCTCGCCTGTAACACACACAACCAGCAGCAGCAGCCACCACAAACAGCCACCATAAACACACACCCCGCTGCTGCTGCTCAGACGCACGCGAGAGACAAGTGCTGCTGCCGCATGCATACACCCCACACACAACCAGGAGACACATGAACACGAGCAAAACATTGCAAAGCAAACAATTCGGACCCGACTTCGCTGCTGCTGAGAGAAGGCCGGTCCCCAGCAGCAACAGCAGCAGCACCCGCATCTGCAGCAGCAACTGTAGCAGCAGCACCCACCCGAACTCCATCCTTCTGCAGCTGCTCGCGCCACGCAATCGGCTTGCTGAGGCAGTTGGCTATGTGGGCCCCCAAGTGCAGCAGATGAGGAGAGGCCAGGGCCTCTAGCAAACCCAATGCCCACGTCGTTATTTCCCCTCGAAAGTCCTCATCGCACCTGCAGTAGCAGGAACAGCAGCAGCGGTAGAAGCAACATGCTTGCATACAGGAAGCCAAACCCGCAGCAGAGAAAAAAGGGCTGGCACTCACAGGCGTCTCCAGGACAGGAAACAGCGTCCAACGGAGCACGAGACAGCAGCAACCCAAGGGACGCAAGCATGGAGACAGAGAAACACAGGATAAACAAAGGCACGGAGACAGCTGAGGTGAGCCCAAACAAGCAGCAGCAAAAGCAGGAGATGGAGCAGCAGTCGTCGCCGTGCAGCAGAGACAGAAAAGAATGACCTACTCCTCTATATGCCGCAAGCAGAGGCAAACAAACACTCCAAAAAGCGCCTCTCTAAACGACGCAGGCAACGAACACAGACGCTCGTGCTGCGGCGGCAGCAGCTGCAGAGACAACAGCTGACGCTCAGCATCCTCTCGCAATGCAGCCATCCTGAACAGAAACCACAAACGCATCCTCACAGTGCTTCTGCTGCGGCTGTTGCTGCAGCTGCTGCATCTGCTCCTTACGCTGCCACTATTATTGCTGCTCCTGCTACTACTACTACTGCTGTTGCTGCCGCTGGCGTGTAGAGCCCCGTATGAGGTAAATAAAAGATATGGCCCCAGGCAGCTGCTGCTGCACTAAAAAGAAGCAAAAGACGAGAGGAGCAGGCGTGTAGCAGTTCGGTAGGGACAGCCTGTAAAGACACCGGGCCCAAGTCAGCAAGGGCGAGACAACAAGAGGCAAGAGAGAGAAGCCTTCTGTTCGTCATGATTAAAGTTGCTTTCGTTATAATTTTTATAATGCAGCCAAACAAAGAGAAACCCACTCAGCACGGCGTTTGCTGAGGTCCGCCTCCGCCTGAAAACGGATCGATGCTGCAATGCGTTCGCACTTCTGCTCCTCGGACTCGCCCTCGTTCTGCTGCTGCTGCTGTTGCTGTTGCTGCTGCTGCCGCGCCTCCTGATCCTGGTGGCCTCTGCTCCGTTGCTTGTCTGCTGCTGCTGCTGCTGCTGCTGCTGTTCCCTCTTCGTCCGATGTCTCGGCGTGCAACTTCCCTGAACGGACTTCTCTAAGGACGCTCGGGGCATCAGAGGACCTCCAACCCCCAGGAGCAGCAGCAGAACCTGCAGCAGCAACTTGCGCATCGGCGTGCAGAGGGTGGAGTGCGGCGGGGGCAGCCGACCTTACGGCTCCGCTGATCTGCAGCTGCTGCTGTTCCTGCTGCTGCTGCCGCTGCTGTTGCTGCTTCTGCTGCTGTTGCCTGGCGTGCGCCCGCATTTCTGCTGCAATGGAAGCCGCCTGTTCTGGGCTGAGGTCCTCCATTGTGGTGAGGCCTGCAGCAAGCAGCTCCTCTTCTGCCTTTGAGTGAGACGCCTAAGGAGACAGGGACCAGCACAAACATAAAGCCAGCCCCTTTCCCTGCTGCTGCTACTGCGGTTGCTGTTGCGGTTGGTGCTGCTTCTGCTGCTGCTACATGGTGCAGCCTCAAGCAGGAGGCACAGTCCATACAGCCAATGCCGGCCACCCAAGCGTCATCAGCCGCTGCAGCATTAACTGCAGCAGCAGCAACTGCGGCAGCAGCAACATCCCTCGAAATCAAAGCAACAGCAGCAACGGCAGCAGCGGCACAACCAACAGCAACGGGAGCTGCAACACCACCTCGACTAGCCGCATCGGTCAGCCTCAGCATCAGCTGCAGCAGCAACCGAGGAGCCCTAATCTGCAGCAGCAGCATCAGCAGCAGCAGCAACAGCAGCAGCAGCAGCAGTACTCCGGTTCTCTAACCTGTCTCCACCTGCCCGCTGCATGCGCAGGCAGGTGCTGGGAGTCAGAGGAGCAGCGTGAGAAGAGAGACAGGGCCCCTGAAGACGGATGCTTAGACCTGATGGTATCGTCAAAGGTGTGCTGCCGCACCAGCTCCTGCTGCTGCAGGTCGCGAAGCAAAGGACACTTTGGATCCCCAGAAAGAGGCGTCAGCAGCGCCTGCTGCTGGCGGCGGCCGCGCAGTAGCGCCTCCTTGCTGCCCTCTTCTGCTGCTCCTGATCCTGCTGCTCCTGCTAAAGGAGAATCCCGTGACGCAGCAGAAGGACACTCATCAGGTGCATCGCCAAGAGCAGGCTCTGCAACAGCAGGACCTCGCTGCTGCGTCTGCTGCTGCTGCTCCTTCCGTTCCATCATTAAGAGTACCTCCTCGCCGAAGGGCGATTCGATTGTTGCCCCTGTATTGCAAACAGCAGCAACTCTGCACGCTCCCTCGGGCAGGCAAGCCTGGGGTCTGTCGTGCTTGCAGTTGTTGCTTCTATAGAAGAACTTCCTCGTTCAGGTCGGTGTTGCTGCCGCTGCAGCCGCTGCAGCCGCTACAGCTGTTGCTGTGCAAAGGATCTGCTGGTCCCTGCTAGTCACCGTAGTGTCTGGTAAATATACAGACATTTCAACGGCGATGCAGCAGCAGCTGCAGCAGCTCTAGCGGCAGCTGTTCTACACGCTGCACCAGGCAGCCCGGGCGCTGAGTGCTGCACCAGGTTTACTGGGTTCAGTTGAATCACAAATATGCAAAACAAAGAAACAACGCTACAGCGAATTGCCGTTGCTGCTGCAGCGGCAAATCTGTTAGCCACAGCGGCAGTGCCGCCCACGATAGGGCTTTTCCTGCTGCTGGGCTGCAGCAGCAAGTCCTACACACTCACTCTTGAAGCTTCAACACAGCCCCAGAAATTCCTTCTCTCAGGGGCTTGTAAAAAAATAAAGTTTAGAAGAGAAGAATGCCAGCGACGCGCTGAAACTCGCGTCCGTTGCCGGAAAGCAGCGGGTTGCTGCTGCTGGGGGGGCCCCAGGCACTGAGCACTGTACCGTAGCAACTCAAGTGTGCGTTTACTTCGTTGATTTTGTGGAGACGGTGAGAAGTTTGTCGCTTAGTGGGGCAAACAACACACCTCAACAACACATCTCAAGGGCCTCGCTAGGGCTCTCGGGTACCCATTGCTGCTGAAGCGCAACGCCAAGGCTGCTCAGAGCAAAAATGAACACCAAGCAGCAACAGCAGCAACAGCAGCAACGGCAGCAACGGCTACAGTTACAAGAACAGCAGCATTCAATTCTGCAGCACTACACAAGCACGCCCAAGTGCCATGGTGACGCTACTGCTGCTCACGCAAGCAGCCACTGCTGCTCTGCAGCTAGGTCTGCTGCATCAAGCGCTGCGGGTGTAAAAAAAACGCAAAGAATTACAACGCACTGAGATAGCATGCATGTGTTCATATGTATATAATTACGCACAACGATATGTACATTTTATATGCGATTATATACATGTATATATATATATATATATATATTGCTGCTGCTGTGGTGCTCGTATGGATGCGAGCACCACTATGGCATATAAACGCAGCCGATAGAACGCGGTGGGGGGCTTCAGCACTCCCTGGTGAAGCAACTGGCTGTTCAGCAAAGCGGCAGCAGGTACAGCAGCTGCTGCTGCAGCTGAGGGCAGACCGTTGTTCTTCGGCTACACCTTCTCTGCAGAAGTTGCGGAGAACCCAGTTAGAGCGCAGCATACACGACGACTTCCGTTAGGCCAGCCTTACCGGCCTTTTCTGTTGAGGGGTCCATTCAGAGGGGACGATGGGGGTGCAACGCCCAGAGTATTTTCATAGAATTTAGGGCTCTCTCCAGAGACAATTTGCAGCACCATTAGGGCTGGCATTTACGCACTTAACATTAGATTCGGTGAGAATGAGTGCGCTGCGCTGCAGCAGCTGTGACTGCTGCCTGTTCTGGCTGTTTTCAGAGGCGCGGCGGACTGCTTTAAACAAGCTTCAGTGGGGAATGAAGAGGTGGTGAGGAGCCACTGCGGGCTGCGGTAGCATGTATGCAAGCCTGCCGCTCAGACCGCATACACCAGCAAAAGCAGTAGCCGCACAGCAATCTTTGTGCTGCTACTGCTGTTCAGCAGCAGCGACGTGGGGGGCCTCCACATGATGTCTATACTACGTGTGCCACTTCGGCAACATCCAGCCTGAGGCTGCATACAGACAACAGGGCCCCCGCTGCAGCAACTGCTACAGGTAGTGTGACTTCACGGTATCCTGGGCCATACGGAGTAACTGCATGGCTTCCTTCCAAAGTGCGTACGCCGCATACAGTAGACTGCCTAACCTCGAACCTGCTCCACTAATATGCCCCTGACAAAACAGTCAGTGCACTTGAAAAAGCCACAGTTCATTGCTGCAGTGGCAGCTGCAGCACACTTGTGCTGTAACAGCAAATCGAAAGGAAGGAGACGCACGTCCTCACCCCAGGCATAGTGCTGCCTGCAGGGGCTCGACAACAGGCGGCACTGCAGAACCCATTAGAAAGCAGCAGCAGCAACAGCAGCCTCCATTGTTGCTGCCTGTCCACCCATTATCCCAGTTGGCCGAGGTCCTCTTCTGGCGGTTCGCCGCTTGTAAAGGCACTTCGGTCTTCAACTGCAGCGGAAGCTCTTCCTCGCTGCAGCGCTGTCCATCAGCAGCACAGCATACAGCAGCAGCATCACTTCTGTCTGTACTAGAGGCTGTGCTGCTGCTGTAAACACGAGGCTTTGAAAAGGTCACCAGGCCCAGAGGCTCCGAGTGCAGCAGCAAAACATCCACTGCTGGCAACCGCAACATGCGGTGTCGCTGCTGCTGCTGCTGCACTGGCAGCAACAGTTCGGAAGGCAGCGCCGCAGCCCACAAGTTGAGGTCCTGCAGTAAGACGCAAGCGCAGGTTTAGCAGCTGCGATGAACAGTAAGCCCCGACGTTTCATCAGCAGCAGCAGCAACGAATATTGTGAAGCGGCAGCAGCGGCAGCAGTGGCTTCTGCTACGGTGAACGGCAGTCTCATATCTCCTACCTCAACGAAACAGAGCCCCTCAGACAAGCATTCTTCGCTCGTGCCACCATGGCCTTTGTGGCTGCTGCTGCTGCTTCTATCATGTGGACCTCCTGAACCCGCTGACGCAGCAGCACGCAGCACTAACTGCAGCAAGCCCCCGTCTAACCCGTCTGCAAGCGTCTTCTGTGGGCCTGAACCCCAGGGCCCCCCGGACGAGCAGCCGTTGGTTTGTCCCTCTCGTTTTTGCTTCTTCTGTTGCGCCTCTTCAAGGAGACGCCTCGGAAGGCTTCTGGTGTGCAGACACCGCAGCAGCAACAGCACAAGCAGCAGGATCAGCGGCTACCTTAACGTACGAATGTCAGCTGATGCACATGAGCTCTTCTTGCAGCGCGAAACCAGTGGTAGGGACTGCTGCTCGGGTGTGCGCGCGCCTTCGACGCTGGCGCAACAGCACTAAGGCGCACCTAATGGCTTGACGCTCCACGCTGAATACAGACCGTCCATTCAACAAAGAGCCTCGGTTCTGTGCCCCCTCCTGCTGCAGCTCTGCGCAGCAGCAGAACCCGCGCGGGAGCGTAGCACCGCCCGTAGAACCTGCAATAGATGCAGCGGCAGGAGCAACAGTAGCTGCAGCAGGAGGTGTCAAACCGCCTAGCCCGAGGGTTCTGTCACCCCCCGTTGCTGCTAGCTGGAAATGCGGTGAAAACAGGTACTCTCCCTTTGTCGCCAACGCCGCAGCTGCTGCATCGCATCCCTGCAACTTCAGATGCAGCAGCAGCGGAACTGCAGGAGCAACAGCTGTACGAGCCCTGCTAAGCCTGATACAACGAAGCAACGACACGGAGACAGGGCAGCTGTAGTCTGCCGTATCTCCTAGGATCGCCGTCAAGGGACCCATTGGCTGAATGCGGGCAGATTTCTGCTGCAACCACAGCTCTGCATCAGCGCAACCGCTGCTGCTTCTGCCGGTTTCACTGTCGCTGATGCTGCTGCCGCTGATGTTGGTGCAGCTGCGCCGGTTGCTGCAGCAACGGGACAGTGCATGGGGGACGAAGCCGCATTGCTGCAATCTGCACAAGCAGAGGAAACGATCCACGCCCGTCAAATGCAAAAGCCGTGCACAATGGGCTTTCCCTGCTGCAGCTGCTGCAAACGCTGCAGCAAAAACAGCCGCCTAACAGCAACAGCAGCAGCAGCAGCAGCCTAGCATCAACTCCTTACCCGACTTGAACTTTGCTTATCTCCACACCCTCAGGGAGTTCACTGACGCGCAAGAGCAGCCGCAGCACGTGCGCCATGCTGCTGCTCCGAGCTGCTGCTGCCTCCGCTGCTGCTGCTGCTGCGGCCGCTTCCGCAAGATTCGATTTCATCTGTGTTGTGTCCCATGTTGCTGCAGATGTTGCAGCTGCTGACGGCTTTGCTCCTGCTGTTGCTGCTGTGTCGGCCTCCCTGCCACTATCCACTGGCATGGGCTCCAGAGTCTCCTGCGGCTGAAAGTCGCTGTCTTCAACAAAAAATACATTGCGAGGCACCTCCTTGATCCCTGCTTCTGCTGCGCGCTTCCTGCTGCTGGTGCTCCGCAGCCGCAGGGACACCTTCCGGCGTTGCTCTCCGCTTCTGCTCTCCTTCTCGGCAGCAGCAGCATTCGCTGCCTCTGGCAGTGGTGCCTCTTCTGCTGGCGGCTCCGCCTCAGCGGAAGCTGCCACACCGTCTGCCTGCGTTGTTTCTCTCTTCACACTACGGTCGGAAGCATCAGTCGCTGGTACAGGATCCGCTCCTGTCGATTCACCCGAGGCACCAGCAGCAGCAGCAGCAGCAGCAGGACCGGCAACAACAGCAGCTTCGGATCCCGAGGATGCACTGTGTCGCGGCCGCTGCGAAGACACAAAACAACGGCAGGCGCTGCAAGTTTGGCATGCGACTGCAAATATGGCTGCTGCTCGTGCTGCTGCTGCTGCTGTTGTCGCTGCTGCTACTGTTGTTCGAGCACTTACCGCATAGCCTTCGGGGATGGGGCCGTTGCCCCTGCCCTTCCAAGGCAGCAGCAAAAGTCTAGGGGGCGGTCCCTTCCTCCGCGTCGATTCCAGCACTATGCGAAGCTTCGGGGGAAGCAAGTCCTCTCGGGCTGGCTGCTGTTGATGCTGCTGCAACTGCAGCAGCTGCTGCTGCTGCTGCAGGTCATGCAAACTTGCTGGGCGCTGCATTTGTAGAGCTCCGCCAATCGCTCCAGCCATGGCTGGTGGTAGCAGGTGTGGTTCCACACCAACATGGCATGTCACTTCTGCTGCCGCTGCTGTTGTTGCTGGAGATGCTGCCACAACAGCAGTCTGCTGAGCAGCAGACCGGGTCACCCCTGAGAGCCACGTTGCAGAGACTGCGGCAGTGGGATCGGCCGCAGGCGGAAGCCCCGAAAGAGTTGCATCAGCAGCAGCCAGCGGGGCAGCACCGGAGGCAGCAGAGACAGGAGCAGGAGCAGCAGGGGGAAGATCAGGCATATCCTTGACCCCCATGGCTTTTAGAATCTCTGCTGGGGGGGCCTCAATGATGTCACAGAGCCGAGGAGAATCCCCGAGGGAAGGGACTGGCAGAAGAGAGCTCGCTGCTGCGTCCCCTGCTGGCGTCGCTGCTGCCGCTGCTGGAGGTGCTGCTGCTGTTTCTGATGCTGCTGCTGCCGCCGCCTCGTGCTGCGGCGAGACAACAGCAGGAAACGATGGTGCATCCGTTAAGGCAGCAGACAGTATAGCGGGCCCAGCAGGAACAGCGGGAGCATCCACGTGTGGACCCGCTACTGGAGCAGCGAAGGGGGCGGCTGCCGCTGCTGGTGGTGCTGCTGCTGCTGTTGCTGGTTCTGTTCCTTCTGCAGTGTGGTAGCACTGAGCAGCAGTTGAGTCAACTAGGTGGAAGGTCTGCAACACACCAGCGCTCGGCAGGTGTAATCCTGCAGTAGCCTCTTGCGGCATCTGTGCCTCCTGCAGCATTTGCTGCTGGGTTCGCTGCACATTTTTGTGGTGCTTTTGCTTCTTGCTCTTCTGTTTTCTGCCCTCCGCCGTTGCAGCGGCATCGCCAGCCGCAGCTGCTGTTGCGTCCCCTCGTTGCTTTTGCTCGAGCGGAGCATCGTCGCCAGCAGCAGCTGCAGCAGCCGACTCCGGAGAAGCAGCAGCAGCAGCATGCTCAGCATTGAGGTCACTGACTTGCAGCGGCTGCTGCTCTTGTTGCTGCAGGTGGGTGGATATAAGAGCCCCTACGTTGGCAGCACTGTCGGAATTGGCAGGGCCCTCCCCTGTTGCTGACGCACGCGCCAATGCCTGCTCTTTCTCTTGCATCTCGAGCTGCTGCTGCTGCAGCTGCAAATGCTCATGTTGGAGCATCTGCTGTTGCTGCTGCAGCTGTTGAAGCTGCTGCTGCAGTGTCTCCTGAGTTGTGGCTCCCCTATCAATAGAGCTGTTGCTTGCATCTTCCAGCGCGTCCTCCCCGAGTAGGTCAACGACAAGGGCCCTGCAGCAGCAACGCACCATCAAGGAAGCCGACGGAGCCGCATGCAGAGCAGCAGCAAGCACCGCATCAGCAGCAGCTGCAGCAGCAAAAGGACTTCAGCGCCCCACCTGTACTTGGGATCCTTGGCTGCCGCCGCTGCGCTTGCTGCCATCGCTGCGGAGTCCTGAGGCTCCTCAAGGCCACGCTGGTGGTGCTGCGTCGGCGGGTGCTTCAGCTGAGGGTGCTGCAGTGGAGGAGGACTCAGATCGGTTTGCTGCTGCACTTGCTGAGGGGGCACCGAGAAAGGCATTGCTGAATGGTGGCGTCGCTCCAGAAGCTCGGCGCGTGCTGCAGCCAGTCCCGCAGCAACAGCAGGTTCTGACTCTACTGCTGCTGCTGTCTTTGCTGCTTCGGCGTGCTGCAGCACGGGAGGAGGCGCTGCTGCTGCTGCTGCATTGTGCTGTGCGAAGGCGCGCCATATGCGCACCACCCAGCGACGCCACCTGCGAAAACGCATGCAGCCTCAATGCATATCCCTCTCTTTCCGTGTGGGACAATGCACAGTACAGTGTCTTGCAACGCACAGTGCTTCTAGAGACACAAACGCGAGAGACGCATTTTGTGCAGTAACATGAATAGCTCCACTGTTTGGGCCACCTACTATAGTATTTATAGAGACTTCATGAACTTATATTTCATTATGTGTGACAAGATTAAAGAAGTATTTTATCGTTCACTTTATTTAGGAAAAACAGAAGTATATCTTAACCCCGCACATGTCCTTTCTGTACCTCTCTACAAATTTGTCTCGGCTCTTCTCACCCACGCGATGCAACCAGCCGCACTGTTGATCGTTGGGGGGGTTGAACGCCATGCAGTTTGAATACACCTGAAGCACCAACAACAGCAAGAGCAACAGCAGCAACTACATGCGTCCCCAACAGCAGCAGCACCAGTGAGCTGCATAACGGGAATCATTGAGGATGTCGAGCGATCCGAAGGCTGAAAAAGCTCCCGCTGTCCTACTAAACAAGCATGCTGCTGCAGCGGTTTTTTCTGCTGCTGCTGCTGCTGCAGCGCCTCACCAGGAACATGTCCTCGAAAAACTCCAACGGGTGGTGGTAATCCCTGGCAGTCAGTTTAGTCTGCAAGGCGCACAGACACCGCACGAAAAGAGCCCGTGTTCAGCAAGACTCTGTCTCAGCAATGACAGCGTATTGGGCTGTTGCTGCAGCTGTTTGTCTGGGACGCCCCTCGTCTGCGCGCTGCTGCTGCGGCGGCTGCTGCTGCAGCGGCTGCTGCTGCTGCTGCAGCGGCTGCTGCTGCTGCTGCAGCGGCTGCTGCTGCTGCTGCTGTAGGGGCGACATACCCAGATGGTGCCGTAGTCCATCGGTCTAGCAATGACCGACTTATAAGAAGTCTTCACTGCATCCGGCAGCTCGGGGCTATCCAACACTGGCGTGAGGAAAAGATAGGCGTAGCGGTCTCCCTTGAGCGGCCTCAGAATCTGCAAAGATTCCGCAGCAGTAGCAGCAGCAGCCGCACGTAAAACAGAAAGCATTCACCAGCAGCGGCACCGGATCCTGCGGCAAAGCGCCATGGAGCCACCGAGCCTCGCACGAGGCACCGTAAACAGCGGCAGAAAGGAAACTACGGAATATCGAGATAACGTAGGCCCCCCAAAATTAACAGTAGTCAGGCCAATGAAAAACAAATGCAGATCATGGAGGCACACAAAGAGTAAACAGTGAACAGTCGCCAGCTGCATGCAGCAATGAGATGTGTAAGCAGAAGGCAAGGCAACGAGTGAATGCCCTAAAATGGGGATCAGCCTCAGCAGGTTTGGGAGTGAGACCCCTCGCAGATACCCCTCCTTCAGCCGCGCTTCCTGCCCAAGCTGTAGCAGCAGACTATCAGCAGCAGGCTAGCTGCAATTAGCAGCAGCAGCGCGTTGGCAGAAGCAGGCTTGTAGCCGCTGCAGCAGCAGCAGCAACATAGCAAAACCTACGTTGTCTCGGCAGTAGATGTACCAACTCTTCCCCGTCAGGCAGTTGTCCATATCCAGCATGCCTGCAGCACCCGTCCAACAAGAGCAGCAGCAGCAGCAACAGCAGATGCGGCAGCGCAGCAGCAACAGAAGAGCAAGGAACATTTTGACGGTTGCAGCCAAGCCAAAGCACGTCTACACCCTTGCTTGCCTTAGCCCTAGTAAACCTAAGCTCCAGTAAGCCCTATCCTTAAGCAGTATAAACCTTGTAAAGCCTAAACCCTAACAAACCTACATTCCAGTAAGCCCAAACCCTAGACTTTCGTGAGCCTACGCCCTAGCACGCCTAAACTCTGGAAAATCTAAACCCTAAAACCCTAAAACCCTAAAACCTAAACCCTGGCGCGCCGGGCACCTACTGAGCCCCTGCCCAGATGAGCTTAAACCCTAGCTGCTAAACCCAAAACTCTAAAGCCTCAACCCTAGTGAATATAAGCCCGCGTTGACGCCACATGAACTCGAACTCAAACCTCGTCCGGCCTCTCTCTACCCTCGTGCTAGCAACAGCCATAATACTTACCCTGCCCTTCCCCCTGCCAGTTTGTTTGCGAAGAACCCCTGTGACTGCCTGATGCTGCGGGGGTCAGCGGGTTGTTGGGCGGAGAGATACCCGCGCGGCCCGAGGTAGATGTCTGCTGCAGCGTCGATTCTGAGGCAATTTCGCCTAAGGATGGAACCCTTTCAACCGTTTGGGGCACAGCGGCGTCTGCTGCTGCTCCTCCTGTTGCTGCTGCGTCCTCTTTTGCTGCAGCCGGGCCGGTGTACACGAGCCCATTCATACACGGCATCCCTGGAGAGGCCCCTACAGCGTTTTTGCCCCCCACATCATAGCTGAGAGGGGGAAGATTGTGGTCCGCTGCTCCTGGGCGGCCCAAAGCAGGAGCAACAGCCCCTACTGCTGCTGCTACTCCTGCAACGGCTGCGGGCGCCGCACAGTCGGAAGCCGTGGGACCTCCAGAAGCAGCGCGCTTCGACGCCCCTCCGCCTTTCTGGCGCGCCCCTGCCTTCTGCTTTCCGTGAGAAAACTGGTGCTCGAGTGCAGCCCAAAGCTGAAAAGACATCCCAAAGCGACAGCAGCTGCAGGAACTCAGTTAGGTCTTAGCGGCTGAAAAGCTCTTTGGAGTTTTCCTTAGCCAGACGTCGCTGCAGCAGTATGCGGGGGAGACAGGAGCCTCCACCCACAACGCCACCGGCAGAAACGCCAGCACCAGCAGCAACATCAACGGCATTACAAGCAGGAAAAGCAACAGCAGCAGCAGCACAGCTACCTTGGAGTCCCTGTATGCCTTCTTTAGGTCCTCAAGGCTGCGCGACTCTGCCTCCGCGCAAAGCCGTAGCACAAATTGGCCAGACGGTGTCGCCTCGTCGTTAAATCTGCACACCAGCAAACCCCAAACTCTAAACTCTGAACGCGAACCCTCCATCTCTAAACCCCTTACACAGTGTGGGGGCAGCTGGAGGTCCGCAACGCGCATGAATGCTGTCACCTATATTCTTGTTGCTGCTGCTGCACGTCCCACTGCACCAGCAGATGCAGCCAAGCTGCTGCCGTGGCAGCAGCTTTTGCTGCTGGAGTATGGTGGGTTGTTGCAGCGACTGACGTGCGGCAGTTGCGGAAGATGAGCAGCAAGTCGCTAATGAAGGCCTCTTCGCTTCTGTATTCGTCCCTTTCCAGCTTGGCCTGAGCCACGCCCCGCTCTCGCACACCCTTAGCACTAACTCCTAAACCCTAAACCCTAGCTTCACTACACCAGAACCCTGAATTCTGTGGATGTGCATCTCCGATGTATGTACCTCCATGGTGCGCAGGTCCATTGGGTGTTTGATGACATCGTAGTAAGTGGGGCATTCCATCTGCTCAACATCTACAGGTTCGAGAAAAAGACGAAAACTCTTCACGCGACGCCAGCCATCAAGCAACCCCGCCAGCTTCCGCTTCACATGCCGCGCCAGTGGAACCCCTCCACCGCCTCCAGCAACGGCCCCACGCTGGTGATCCGATCCCCCACCCAAATCCGCATTGGGCGACGCGGGGCCCAAGGAGAAAGAACCTCCAGAGACGGGCATCGTCAACACGCTTCGCAAGCCGCAAGCCGCCAACGGCGCTCCTGCGTGCAGCAGCAGCAGCCGCGGGGAACTGCTGCTGCTGCTATACCGCAGCTGCTACACAGCAAAGGCCCTGCAAATAGGTCGGTTCATCCCCATGTGAAGGATCTTCTGTTGCTGCTGCTGGTGCCACAGCGCCTACTGCAAATCCGTACGCCAAGGGCGCTGGCTTCGGGGTCGCCCACCGCAGCAGCCCGCTGGAAGAAACCCTAGCAACCTTTTCAGATTTCCTTCGAATCAGTTCCAAAATGAAAAGCACCATAGGCAGTAGCAGCAGTTGCGGCAGCTAGAGAATCCCTTAGGTTTCCCCCGTGCGCAGCTGTGACTGGCTGCGCTGCGCTGCGCTGGGCAGCAGGAGAAAAGGCAGCTTCCGCCACCGCAGACAGCAAAGACGCCTGAAGATGCTCGTGCGACAGAGTCGTTGAGCTGGACCCCTAGAGGACTGTCTTCGCAGCTATTATCGATGACCTGTTAAAAAATGCCAGCACTGCGTGTACAAAGGCTTCGGAAGAGCTGAATGGTCGGCTGCTGCCATTGGTTACTGTCATTTATGCTTTTAGCTTTGTTACGAATCTTCCGTGGGAATATTGAGACAGCAAAATCAACTAACGGACCAGCAGCTGTAGACTCCGGAGGGCCCCCAATGGGCCCTCAGCGGCGCGCCGTCGGCTGTGTTGCTGCATGCAGGCTGTTGATGCAGGTTTGGTGTTCTCCAAAAAGACAGAGGGCAAGTCGTAAGATATAGAAGATGAAAAGGAAAGACGTTGGGAACACATACGTAGATGGACAGGTTGGGCCTGTTGAGGAGAGGGGGACTCCTCAAGTGCTGCTCAACATTCAAGCAGGGCATCGCAGCAGCAGCAGCAGTTGATGCTGCAGCACAACTTTATACGATTTTTTTGCTGCTTAGTGGTGGGCCTCTGCGAGCCATTTTCAGTGAAAGGGAGTCGTAGAGGGCCCTTGAACAGAACGGAGTGGCTGGAGTTTGCATGAAGACGCCCACAGGGTCCAGAACTTTGCATTGGTTTCCTCTTAAGGAATTCATTTCGTACTTACAGTCACTGTTGTTGCTGCTTCTGCTGCGTCTAGTAGGCAAGTGGCTAGCTGGCTAGGTCTAGGGTGGACCTGATTGGTGCCTGGGTTGAGTGGCGTCTAGCTCGTTGGGAGGTGTGTGAAGCGGGGGGAGGCTAGCTTTCCTCTTGCCGTTAAACGGCACTTCCCGAGAAAGAGCGTGGGTAAGCACAGCAGCGGCAGCAGCAGCTGCTGCTTCTGCAGCACCAGAGCGTCGTGGAACAGACGCAACGCGAAGAGCCTCGTGTTGCTCTACAAGCCGACGTACAGCATGCGGCAACTCATTGCATAGGGATGAATTTGCATGACGTGGTAGCAGCGCCTTTACTTTTCCTGCTGCGTCTTTTAATCGTGCATCCTTCTGCCTTACCCCGCCGTAAGCCGTTCAGCACTGTATCTCCCCGCATCCTTCCGGCCGAAATTCGCTTTTTCTGGGGGAGGGTAACTAGAAACGGGGTATGAAGAAGTATCCCCGCTTAACTCGTCAGCAAGGCTAAGAGGCGGCTTGGGCTTTTGGGCTGTTAAGGCCACTTCACTGAGCAGCACGGGAGGTCCTTCCTTGGTTTTTTTTCTGATTGTTTGTTGGTTTTGGGGGTTGCTTGAGGAGCACGTCAGGCAGGGGTCATCGCCCGTTGATACTTTGTTTGGATTGTTCTATGCACCGTAACCTGTCTCAACGCGGCATGCGGCGGCTCAAAGGTCAGTGCAGGACTCGCTAAGGGAGCTTGCTGAAATGCACAAACTAGATGGGTGCTGCGAAGAAGGTCGTTAGAAGGCAGAACTTTAGAAGCGTACAGGGCGGCTGGGCTCTGGCTCATCGAAGCAGACAGTTCGTTGGTGGCTAGTAAGGTGGCGCTTTGCAGTTAAGGGAAGAAGGTGCAAAAGGGAAAACTCTGCAAGATAACGAGCTGCTCATTCGCAACCGACAGGAAGCGGGTGTGGGGCTAGCGGTGACCCAGTGACATTTTGTCTTCATTCGTTGCATGCTCGATTCATTCCTGTGTTTTTGTGTTTGGTTTTCCCATTACAGTTCCCAGGTCACTTGGGCTGCGTTAGTATAGCAGGTCTTGGGAGCACAATGTGTCTGCATTCAGCAGCATGCATGTGCAGAGCCCTAGGAGTTAGTCCAGAATGGCCTTTTCTGGAGAACTACTATCAGTGGGGACTGGGTAAAACGACAAAACTATGTCTTGAGCTGCAAACAATCAGAAGCCTCGTGCCTTCCCAATGCCTTCTGCAGGTGGGGGCCGAACAGGCGAAGCGGCAAAGGCAAACCAACTTCGGCAGCTCAAGCGGATCAGTGCACCTCAGTGGCATCACCTTGAGAAGGCGAGGTGCCTACACGCTTGCCCTGTGCTGCGTAAGCTTTCTGGCTGTGTGGAAATTCAGTGCAGTGGCTGCTGGAATGTGAATACCAAGCAGCCTTTCATCGTACGAAGTAGCCACGATACGCACGTTGTCTTGACGGCTGCGAAAAGTCCTGCTGCTCAACTGGCGCGCGACTGTCAGTTGCTTAGTTGCCTCTGTTGCTCCTTTCGCACGCACCCACCTTGCGAAGACTGCAGTAAAAGACAATGCTAAATGCTGTCCAGGTTGGTAGACAGGGCCAGGCAGCGCGATGAGTTGTATTGGCCTGTGCGAAGGTTGCGCTCGAAAACCTCGTTCTCCATTGGTCTTCTCGTCTGGCTGCAAGGACTTATGCCGTCCACTATTGCTAGTCCTTGACCCTTCTGGAGGCGTGGTTGACTCGGCTGGCTCCCCCACGTGGAAGCACTTGCACTTGCTTCTGCTGGAGCAATGAGCGGGACCTTGCTTCTGAGTTTTGGCGCAAGCGTTGTCTTACACCCATGGAAAGTATGACAGTTTGAAAAACCGCCTGGCTAAACACCAATATCCATCCGCTGGTGCGGGGGAGATCGAGGAAACCCCGATTTTGCTGAGTGGGGAAGCCTGGGGCAGTGCATCATTCAGATTGTGGCCAGACGTCGGTTAATTTGCGGTATTTACCTCGTACGACTTCAAACCACATTTTGCTTCCCGTTTCTAAAGGCTTGAACAAACGATAGCGACTTGCATCAAGGGTGGCCTATGCCACGCCTCCAAGCTCGAAGGATCACCAATGGATCAAATGGAAAGAATGGAAGAAACAGCTGAGCGCGGATTTGAATTCTGCATGTGTCTACTACGTGAAAGGCTCAAGTTTTGAAGGTCTAGTAAGAGTGTGAATGGGCCATTTCCGTTTCCTGCAGTGTTGGTGGCTGTGGAGGAGCACTAACTCTATTGTAGGGCGCATCATACAACGCCGCACAACTCGTGCATGGGCGCATGGATGCGCCGTTTCTTGCGTGTAAACTAGCCTGCGCACGCTTGCCCCCTCCCAACAGTTTTATCGGATTGTTGCCGCAAAGACCGCATCCCCGCTGGTAGTGCGCCCACGTTTACCAATACTTCGGCATTCTCCTATTGATTACATATATATATGTGCTGCCGCTCTAGTGTTAATCTAACATATTAGTACTTAGCAGGCTTCAACGTCTTTGCCCATGCATCCAACGTCCCTACCCCCCGGCTCCCGCAATGAGGCAGCCGGTGTATCATGTATCCTCCATTGCCCTGTAAAAGCCTCCTTAATGCTGAAAATTTGTCTGCTGCAATTCTTGTGTGCAAGACCCCACTTAGAGATCTGAGCCCGCCCTTCTGAGACGTTACGTTCCCACCTCTTCCCGTCCTTTTCGTAGTTCATTCACGAGAGCCTCTCTGGCCTGTACAGGACTTAGGCAAAAGCCATCATCCATTTCACGATTCTAGCATCTCAGTTGCCGGAGTATTAAAAGTAGCAGCTAATGGTTTTGGACCAGTACGAAAAAGAATGCCTCCTTCGAAGGGCAATATATTTGAAGCGCAAAGCCAGCACGACGGCTGTCTGCTCTCAACAGTTTTTCCCCTCATCCCTCTAGTCAGGATCTAGTATAATTTGAAAACGACATTCTCACCTTACTTGTTTCTGCTACCTCCCAAGATGCACTTCTGCAAGACTCTAGTAGAATTTCTAGTGCAGTATACGCGAGTGAGTGAGTGACTCGGTGGCTCTCAGCAGAACAGACATCGAGCAATGTGGACAGCCAAGGCCCTCTTAAGTAGTTTACCCACATCCACAAACCCCCCCGTCACCAACTAAGTAGACAAAAATGAGCTTTCCTTCAGGAGCTCACCGCAAGCGTTTTTGCCTGCTTCAACTTGTTGGCATCAAACAGAAGAACGAAAGTTGACGAATCGCTACTAAATACTGCTGTCTGTTACGTTCTTTTTCATGTTCGACGCCTCTGTGGCTGCAAGTGAAGGCAACAACGCCCTTCCGGAAAAGCAGTCGCCTGAGTAAGTGCCGTGGTCTGCGGAAGTCTCGTTAGCATTCCAGGATCTGCCAGTTCGGGAAAATGCAAACTGGGCATTATGGGTGCGAGGGAGCTTTTCGCCGGCAGCAAGGCTCTCCGTAGGTCCGCTATTCTCCCTGCACGAAAAATCTTGATGGAAAATTCCAAAAAAAAACCGAGGCTTTCGGAAAATCCCCGCCCCCTCCTCCCCACCCAGAGTGCAGTGCGGGAGGCAGGGAGAGAATCTGCAGTGCCTCAAACGCAAAGGGCCTCCTTGCAAGGGTCTACTTTGGCTTGGATGCACCTAACCGCCATATGCGCTGGGAATGGTGGCCTAAGAGTCGAGGTGGATGTCACGGTTCTTACGCCATCCAAGGACAGGGGCCTCCTTCAACGCTTTGGTGCTGCAGCTCTCCTCCATCCCCATTAGCGCAGGACGTATGTGGCTGCAAAGTGCTCGTGGGATATGTAGGAAGGAGCTGTGGCTGTTGAGGTGACGGATGCCTTGGGAGAGGAGGGGCTCTGACTGCTGGGGCCGCTACCGCGGGTGATATCTCCGTACGTTTGTTTGCCCCAAGAGAAAGGAAGGTACTTGTACTTGATCATTTTTTTGACTTGCTGCTTCATAGTGAGAATAAAGAGGAGAATGAAATAGATGAGGAGGATGGGCCAGAAGACGGGCAAGTCGAACACCTGGAAAAACGTCATGGCGATGGCAATAAGCAACGCTCGCATGCCTGAGGCCCATGCTTTAAACTCTGGGACTTGGCGCAGAAATGGCCGGAACTCTCCTGGCTCACTCTGAGCGCCGCCTCCTCCTCCCCTGACAGGCAAGACGTACTCGTCGGTTTCCGGGTCCACTTGGGGAGAGATGAAGCCAATCAGGAGGTTCAAAAGGTAGATGCCCAGCCCATAGCTGACTACAAAGAAACCGGCTAAGAAGTAGACACGCACGATGTAGAAAGCCAAGCACGCGAAAAGCACAAGCCAACGAGTCTTGAGGTACAAAATGGACTTGTTCAAGTAGACGCTGCTCACACGGCCCACGCTGGCCCAGACACGAGAGGAGAAAGGCTGATCAGCCAACTCCTCAGCACTCATAGAGGCCATCATAGTCTGCACAGCGCTTTCTATTGAGTGCGCAAAGGCAGCCCTTCGTCTCTCCGAGCCCCTTCCGACACTTAGAGGGATATCAACGGAGACCGCCGCCCACGGTCCTGCCCCGGTCCCCCGCAAAAGGCCTTGTGGAACTACCTTGCACGAAACTCTGAATAACTGGAAAAGTGACTTCTAAATTGGACCGATTTGCGTCAACCACAGGTACGTCAGGATGCTCTGCTGTAACAGTCAGGCACTTTGCAGAAAGCCCCACGTTTCTATGCGGTAAGGTCTATCTTGCTAAATATGAGTCGGGGGTGTTCAATCCTGAAACTACACGATAAATAACCCCTTTGATATGGGGCATGTCTCAAGGAGAAGCTGCAGTAGTGGACGTACTGGCCATTGCCCCAAGAGGCTGCCGCCAACTGCCGAGGCCCCAGTGCGATGGCTGCTTGGCTGCACTATTGGGAGCCCAGCAAATAAGTACGGTTCCACCTTGTGTTGTCTTCAAACAGAATTTTGTCAGAAGACGAAAGTCAAAGCACTGTTTTTGACGTCCGAGGATTAGGGCACACGGGTGAACCCTCCGAAGAGCAGAACGCCGAGCCGACCGCCCTGAAAAGGGAGCGTTACATGCAGCGGCGCCGGTCTGTTTTCTCTATACGTTTGCCTGCTGTCATGCACTTCATGCGCCACCGTAACGGACCGAGCAGAACAAACATAGCCCCTTCGGCGAGCTGCGATGTACTTTCGAATGTGTCCCTTTCTGCACGATCACGCCCGGCAAAATTAGTGTGAAGCGAGGACCCGCACGGAATCAGCTCTCTTACCATCCAGGTGGGAGTGGAGATATTATAGACATCAAGCTTGAACCTGGTAGGGGATCAGGACAAGATAATCTCTGAGCTGCGGCATTTAACGGGCGTTTACACCCCATACTAGACCTTGCGTTAGCCCCTTCAATCGAAGCTCTCACATGAATGAATTCCCATTAAGTGGCATCAGCTTAGTACGTAGCAAAGTACGGCCTCCTCTACCGTAGATGCGGATCATTCGAGGATTCCCATCAATATGGCGTGGAGCAGCCGCCGTGGAAGCGTACAGATTTCCCGTGGCGATTGCAGAAGCACTGCACTTGCATGCCGAAAAAAAAAGTTGAAATGGAGTCACGCTTTCAACTAGTAATCTCAGCCACTTCTGACGCTTGGTCTTCACGTTGTGTCGAAGAGTCCTGATACTGGGATTTCTTGTGCGTTCTCGATGGCGGCTGCACTCTCTGGCCCGTCTCAGATTTGAGTTTGCATACTGAACTTCGCTGTATTGGGGACATACCAGGATGGTACTAGTAGGGGACCTACGTGGGCTAGTGAGGCGTGTGTGACCTGGTGAGCGTCCCAAAAGGGAGAGCGGTATTTTGCACCTACCGTGCATTGTCTCTGCGCCCTAGATCTTACTGAGAAGTTCTACAGCTGGAAAAGAAACGTGGGTTACAGTTCACCCACTGGTCGAAGCGTTCCCAACGTAATGCGGTGACGAAGTGACCTTGCGGCCAAACGCATGACTTAGACGGAAAGAACAAGTTTTCGATAGAGTATATAGCTTCTAGCGTGCCCCAGGGGACAGATACAGCTACGGGCAACTAACTAGCTGCCCATTGGCGCCCCTGTGTATATGGGCTGGACTTTATACTACACAGGAGGCAATCTATAAATATAATGAATTTTCCTTGGGAAGAATCCTGCTTTGCTGATGAGTGTGACTAATAAAACTGTCCACGTGGCATCGCCTCCTAGTGAGGCCACTTGGGAAGACGCGATGAAAGTCTTCGCCAATGAGTGCTTCCATATGCCCGTGACGTGGATATATTTGTGTTGCCATGAACGAGGGTTTAAGGGTTTGGAATGAACTATGCTTTGCAATTTAGGAAAAAGTACATAAGCAACGGCCTGGCAAAGAAAACTTACTTACTTGGTATGCAGGCGCATTCAATTCGTATACATATGGACATTTCGAAAGGAGCGGTAGCATGATGCTCCTGCCCACTCCCGAAGCCAACTCACCAGCCTGCAAGAAATTCCCAAGCAAGCCGAAGCAGGTATGCGTGGCTTCTGGTAAAGCTCCGACTATAGCCGGATTGTGCTGGCATAATCCTCCCACGACAAAAGACTCTTCTGCCTGGATCAATGACGTGATCCCATATATTTGCATTGCGAAGCCCTTGAAGACAAACTGTGAATTCCACGCAATGTACTCGAGGCGTGGCTAACTGCATCCGGCAGCTACAATGCGCATGGCTAATACGGTAGACAAACGACTGCTAGTAGGTCGTCTGCCTAGGGAACCAATACGAGGCAAAAGGGCCAACGTGCCCTGGACCAAGTGCTAATCATAGTCATTGACTGCTGCCGAGCAAAGCCACTTAAGGATCTTCGTGTGCAATCTACGAACATCACCACGGTGAAAGCTTCTCGATGCAGCACTTGCTTTGTCCTGACTGCTACCCGGTTTCACGTTAACAATAACCGTTTTTGTGAAAGGGTGTCGAAACCCTGGAATGAGGCTTGCTTCAACGGCTTCCCTGCATGCATCCATATGAAGAAAAGACATTATCAGCTAAAAACTCACCGGCTCTTCTGCCTGGAAATAAAATGTTCTGTGGGTACGAGGCCATCTCGCATTTGAATCGAGACGCCCAGTGCCAGTGGCGTGAAGTCCCTAATGGCCTGGAGAAATCACATCGCTTTTGGCCGCGGCGGAGCACGAAGAGCGCACGAACGCAATGGCTGCTGAGCCCAACGAATTTTCGAAAGCTCGTTAGAGTAGGGCGACACGCAATTGAATTCGCATTCTGTCGCATGGAACTCCTGGCAAGCGCCTGATGGGCTCTCATAAACAACCATCCCTACATAAGACACATTCATGGCAAACGAGGAACCCCCAGCTTTCATTTCATCTACGACGAGCTTCCTCATACAAAGCGAAACGGACAGTTTCTGAGTACTCCCAGGAACCACGTGCCAAAATGCATGCCAAATTCGATCACGACGCGCGGGCAGGCGTGTGGTTGTGAAGCCACTTCAACAAAAGCAACTTCTCAGGCTGCAGCAAATAATGCCGAAATCCATGCTTCTAGCGGGATTCTTGGTTAGACGGTTCGTGAGGCTTGGTCACTTGGCAAGGCGGAAGCCGTTAAAACTAGTGAATGCGCATACGCATACGCAGGTATTCAACAGCAGAGGTGGCGGGCCATATCTGCATATGATGAATGTCATCATAGAGCAAGCTCATCCTTGCAGAATATGACAAAGCAGCATAGTGCTAAAGTAATGCATGTAGAAAGATTAATATCTAACACATCACCACCAGTTGCACTCAATCCTCCCTTTGAAGTGATACGCGGAGAGTTTTAATAGTGATCACTACGAAGACCCACTTGCTCTTCCTAAAGCAAGATATGTGGAGACATCTCACTATAAAAATGGGGCTGTGATGCATAAAAACACATCCCAGTGTCCAAGCCTCCCACCAGGCCTGTGTTGATGCCTTAAATCCTCTGTGCTGCACCAGCTTCTCCAGGAATTGAGGTATCCTGAAAACGTACTGTCTGAGGCTGAGGCGTAACCGGCCTGGGTAGGAAAAGCGCCTTTACTAAGCAGAACATCTTTTCCTCTCAAGCCGTTCTTGGAGCTCTGTAGACTAATTTCTCCAGGCAACCGGGGATTCTGAGACGCGTAGGCAAAACGCCACTCTAAATAAAACAATACCAGCTCGTACCACTGTCCAAGCCTCCCACGAGGCCTATGTGTTCACGCCTTAAATCCTCTGTGCTGCATCAGCTTCTCCAGGAATCTACGTATCCCGAAAACGTACTGTCTGAGACTGAGGCGTTAGCGGCCTGGGCGGGAAAAGCGCCGTTACCATGCAGAACGCCTTTTCTGCTCAAGCCGTTTTTGGAGCTCTGCTGATGCATTTCTTAAATTATCTAGGCTCCAGAAAAGAAGCCATACAATATGGCGGCTGGCGTAGCCCTGAGGTGCACAGACGAAAGGAAACTTAGCGGTTGGGTTTGCGCCTGTTTCATAGGCAGGTTTCAGTACAGCTGAAGGCGAGTTGGGAGCACAATATACGAGTATGTGCTTTGCCTCACCGTTACGCTGTTGCACCCTAGGCATCACGAATCAAGCCTGCTCAGCCACAACATCTAACAAAAGACCAGACATATATATATATATATATATATGTGGCGATCAGTGAGCTTTGATCGTCCACACTTCGTCACAGGCAGCATTGCGACCGCGGTGACGATACATGGTTCGACACAACTGAGTTAGCGCTAACCCCATTCACCACCGCGGTCCTAGCACTGCCGAAAGTACAATTTTCGAGATACTGCGTGACGCGGGTATCTCATGCAGAGGGAAGGTCACATGGCCCACAGGTATGCGCAAGGGCAACCTCCACACTTCAGATGACAGGCCAAAGCCTCATGACATTCCTTAGCACGTATTCATAGAAGGATTCATCGTTTAAGTGGCACATCCCCAACAAGTTGGAACATGAACGAATCCAGTAAGCCGGCACGAATGACACACGAACGAGACGAGCAACGGCGTGTCAGCAAAAAAGAATAGATCGTAGTCCAGCGAAATATTTAATGGCGACTTAGATTACCATTGTGCGTGCTAGTATTTCGGGACCCACTTTCTGCAGCTGCCACCCATCCACACGAGCCATGCAAGAGAAACTAAATTGCAACACAAAAGGAGGCTAAGCTGCCAGTGATCGGAACTCCCCACTACACTACTAGAGCTTTCGACCAAACAAGGCACGTGGAGAGACCGAACACCCACACTCTACGAAGAGGCAAAGCAAGCAGGCTTATCAGCATAATGGTTTCTGCACGGTGTACACGCGCATCCAACAAACGCCGCTACTATCCAACAGCAAGCCTTCTTGGCGTAGGAACGCTTTAACTTGGCGAGCCATGCAACAGCACCTTAGTTCTGCCCAGA